TAAGCTAAGCTAATAAGCTAAAGCTAAGCTAAGCTAAGCTAAGCTAAGCTAAGCTAAGCTAAGCTAAAGCTAAGCTAAAGCTAAGCTAAAGCTAAGCTAAAGCTAAGCTAAAGCTAAGCTAAGCTAAGCTAAGCTGCTAAGCTAAGCTAAGCTAGCTAAGCTAAAGCTAAGCTAAAGCTAAAGCTAAAGCTAAGCTAAAGCAAGCTAAAGCTAAGCTAGCTACTAAGCTGCTAAGCTAAGCCAAGCTAAACTAAGCTAAGCTAAAGCTAAGCTAACTAAGCTAAGCTAAAGCTAAGCTAAAGCTACTAAGCTGAATCTAAGCTGCTAAGCTAAGCTAAGCTAGCTAAGCTAAAGCTAAGCTAAAGCTAAGCTAAAGCTAAGCTAAAGCTAAGCTAAAGCTAAGCTAAAGCTAAGCTAAAGCTAAGCTAAGCTAAGCTAAGCTAAGCTTAACTACTAAGCTAAGCTAACACTAAGCTAACGCTAAGCTAAAGCTAAGCTAAAGCTAAGCTAACACTAAGCTGAAGCTAAGCTAAAGCTAAGCTAACGCTAAGCTAAAGCTACGCTAACTCTGAGCTAAAGCTAATCTAAAGCTAAGCTAAAGCTAAAGTTAAAGCTAAAGCTAAGCTAAAGCTAAAGCTAAGGCTAAAGCTCCCAGGGGACTGGGGGAACCGCGGGGCGGGGACTGGGGGAACCGCCCGGGGCGGTTTCCATTGCCCGCCCCTTTAAGCAAAGAGAGTAAGAACCCTTCTAGGCAGAGCCTGGGTAGGGAACTAGGCTGCGACTACGGTTACTACTACTACGACTACTACGTCGACTACGGCTACTAATCATACCCCTACTACTACGATTGCTACGTCTGCAACATCGCCTGTTACTACTACTACTCGTACGGAAACTACCAGTACTACTAAGACGATTGGTTTACTACTACGACTACTACTACTACTACGACTACCACTGCTACTGCGATTACTACTGATAATACGACTACCACTACTACTACGACGGCTACTACTGCGACGATTCTGCCTACTACTACGACGCGGGCGACAAAGACGCTGACGACTAAGGCTACTACTACTACTGCTACTGCTACTGCTACTGCTACTGCTACTACTACTACTACTACTACTACTACGACTACTACTACTACTACTACTACTTCTACTACTACTACTCCTACTACAACAACTACTACTAATAATACTACTACTCTATTACCAACACAAGTATCCCCGACTACTACTACTACTTCTCCGGCTGCGCCTACGACTAGTACGACTACTGCAAACATCGCTACTACTACCACCACGACTGCTACTACTAGTAGTAGTAGTAGTAGTAGTAGTAGTAGTAGTAGTAGTAGTAGTAGTAGTAGTAGTGGTAGTAGTAGTAGTAGTGGTAGTAGTTGTAGTACGACTACTACTACTACTACGATTGCTACTACAACTGTTACTACCACTTCTGAAGCAACGGCTGCAGGTGCTACTCGTACTACAACGAAGACTGCGGCTGCTACCACTACTACTACAACTAATACTACTATTTATACGACTACTGCCTCTACAACTACCAATGCAACTACTATCCAGGACCACTACGGTGACTACTACTGTTGGTATTCCAATTACGACTACTAGTACAGTATCTATCATGACGGTTGCTACTACTGTACTACGACTACTACTACTACTACTATTATGACTATTACTTCTACCACCACTACTACTACTACTACAACTACTACTACTACTGCTACTACTACTACTACTACGACTACTACTACTACTACGACTACGACTACAACTACAACTACAACTACTACTAGTACTACTACTACTACTACTACTACTACTACTACACTACTACTACTACTACTACTACTACTACTACTACTACTACTACTACTACTACTACGACTACGACTACGACTACGACTACGACTACGACTACGACTACGACTACGACTACTACTACTACTACTACTACTACTACTACTACTACTACTAATAATAATAAGCATAATGCGACTGATACTCCTACGATTACGACTACTACTACCACTAAGCCTGCTACTACCACCAACCTGTCTACCTACCTACCTACCTACCGACCGACCTACCTACCTACCTACTTGCCTACCTGCCTGCCTGCCTGCCTGCTTGCCTGCCTGCCGACCTACCTACCGGCCAACCGACCGACCACTACGTCTATTCCAATCATTACACCACTTACTCATACTACTACTGCTACTGCTACTGCTGTTGCTGCTGCTGCAACTGCTACTGCGGCTGCAAGTGCTACTAGTAGCGCTAGTCCTGATGCTACTACACAGGCTGCGACGACTGATACGATTATTATCACTGTTGTTGCTAGTGTTACTGCTACTGTTACTACTACTGCTGCTGCTGCTGATTCCACTACCATTTGCACTACCACTGCTCTGCCATGACTCTTATAACGTCGTTCTGACTATTGTGTGTCCATGTGTTGTAACCCTCGCTCAAGTAGCAACCGCTGACAAGGGCGAACGATTTAAACCACTGCTGCAAAAAGGATCCTCGCCAAAGTGCCTAACTGAGTGGCGTTTCCCCAATTCCGTTCGAATTTCCATATAGCATGGTGTACGTACTGTTGTTTTCTGGGCGGGCGGTCTCGGGCGCTCCCGCGTGCACTCGGGGTGCGTCGCGTGACCTCTCGGCTCGCCCTGGGAATGTCTTGAAGTCCCCAGGAGCCAGCCCACGAATCAACACCATAGAACCAAATCAACTGTTCTGGAGTACAGTCAAAAACCCTAATAAAGACGCGCGGTAAGGACGCAAGACCCTTGGAAGCCGAAGTTGGGATTGTTGGGGCGGCGGACGACGAAAACCTCAAGGACGCAACAGCAAGGAAGAGCAAGGACGCAAGGGTACCCTGAGCAAAGTCGCGCGCCCTCATTCGGGTTTTTGACTGTGGTGCTTGGATGTGCACATCGTCCATCCCAGAAACGTCCAAAGCGGCCCAAGAAGCTCCCAAGACGGCCCCCCCAAAAGGGGCACCACCAAGAGACGCCCAAACGGGTGAACTCGCATCAGCCCCAGAGAACACTCCCAAAGACCGCCAACAAGACACCAGGAGGCTCCAGTAGAATATTTCGAAGCTGAGGGGCGGAAGGAGTCGAAGAGGTCGGAGGAGGGAGGAGAAAGGAGGAGGGAGGGGGGATGAAGGAGGAAGCAGGAGGGATGAGGAGCCAGAAGCAGGAGGAGTGAGAGGAGGAGGGAGCGGAGGAGGAGGAGGAGGAAGAGGAGGAGAAGGGGAGGGAGGAAGAGGAGGAAGCAGGAGCAGGAGCCAACACCGCAAAGATTCCAGGAGACCCCGAGGAATTCCCGAAAAAGGCCTCCAGGGGGGCTCTGGTCCGCGACTCAGTCACTGCTGCAGAAGCGGGCCAAGGGCCACCGGAGATACATGAGCAACTCACCAATGCCCAAAACAGCATGCGACCGACGGTGTGCCACGTCCCAGTTTGCATGGCGGGCGGCCGCACGTATGCCGCAATTGATATTCGCACTTCCTCGGTGGCAGAAAGAGAGCGCCGCCGTATCCTGTGGAAGGACCCGAGGAGGCCCGTGCGTCTCTGACAAGGCAGGAGTTGCTGTAGGTCATGAAGGACCCAGGCACATGTTTCACCCAACTGGCCATCGCTCGGACGTCCATTCCCTGTGTTTATGTCGGTTTCGTGCGTGGTTTGTTTCGCCAAATGATCAAGGATGCTCCTCGATGGTCCTCGCCGAATGAAAAATGCACACGTCCGAGCGATGCCAAGCCGAATTCAGATTTGATGCTCGATGTGGGGATCTCGCTGGAGCCGTTCGCTCCACTCATGCGTCGATGCTGTGTCGAGCGTCTGTCGACGTGAATCGAACTCGAAGCGAAGCTCAGTCGAGCTTAGGGTCGAACGGGTACGTTGGGTGGGCCCCAGGAACTTAGGACGCAACTACTGGGAGGCTTTCGTCGGAAATATTAAAACGATTAAGCCCCATTTGGGGGCTATTACGCCGGAGTGGGCCTCGGATCAAGAGGGATTAAGCCGGACTAAGTGGGATGAAGCGGGACAAGTCGGGACTGAGCGGGATTGAGCCGGACTCCGGACCGGTGCAGCGTCAGAACTGCACCTCCCAGGAGTGGCCTCCCAGAGGAAGGCCCCCCCCAAAAAAGGAGCACCTGTAGTTCCGGGCTGCGTCCAAGGTGTGCAGCGCGAGCTTGTGGGACACCTGACGCCCACGCCCTTCGACCACTGACGCGCTTCACTCGCTTCCGCGTCCGAGGGCTCGGCTGGCCAAGAGCCCACGGCCTCCCCGCGCGGGGCGGCCCCAGCAGCCCCCGCCGCGCCCCCCTCTGGATGCCCGCGGGGACGGCGGCAGTCTGCGCGCAGGGCCGCTGGATATGAAGGGGCCCTGGGACACACAAATAAAATGCACACAAATAAAGATATTCCACATATCTTCCCATATTTTCTGGGCTTTTGCCTTCCCCCCCACTTCCCATATCTCCCCATGTTCTCCCGGGGGTCGACGACTAATTGTGTCTGTGTGCATTTTCCCTCCAAAGGATAGTTTGGCCACGGAGGTGTACACGTGCTCCGCGCGCGCGTGCAGGTTCTCTGGGCGTAAGGTTGCATTGGACCGGAACGGCCATTGGGTCCGCCATGCAAGACCCCCGAAAGGGATACGTGCTCACTTCAGTGTTTGCGCTGTTCATGGGAGGGAGGCGTTCAGGGAGTAATGAGGGCGGTTGGGGAAGGAGGGGGAAGGAAGTGAACCAGTGGGAGCGGCTTGGGAAGGGAGGGAGGGCAAGAGAGGCGAGGGGAGAGGAGCGGAATGGATGGCAGGAAGGGCAGGGAGGAGAGAGAAGTGGGGAGGCTGGAGGAGAGAAAAGAGGGTGGGGAGGGGCGCGGGAGATGGTCCGGGTGCGTGGGGAGCAAGCGAAAAAGCGAAACCAAAAGATGGAGGCCCGACGGCGGGGTCCCTGAATTTCAGGGACGCCGGAGAGGGGAACTCGCTGAACTCGTTCTTCGAGTACACCAGCATGTGTGTGGCCCCTTCGGGGATCTTTGTGCTCTTCGACAGATCCGCAGGCCCCCCAAGCGGGTGGTGGATGGGAAAGTGGAGGAGAACGACGATGACGATGACAACGATGACGAGGTGATGATGAGGAGTAGCATGATGATGAGCATCTCAAATGCCCTCATCCTCGTCCTCACCCTCCTCCTCCTCGCGATCATCCACATCATCTTCGTCACCGTCGTCGTCCTTATCGTCATCGTCGTCCTCATCAACCCTTGTCCATGCTCCGAGCCCTCTCCCTCCATCCCGCTCCCTCATGGCCTTCCTCCTGGATAGTCCTCACCTTCTCCCACACCCTCCCTCATTATTTATCCTCCGCCTCCTCACCCCACACTCCTTTCCCTGCTCCTCCTCCTCCTCCTCATCCCAATCCTCATCCTCATCATCACCACCACCATCATCATCATTAGCATCATCAGCATACTCATCATCACCATCATCAACATCGTCATCATCTCCTTCACCATCATCACCACCAGCATCATCACAATTTCCATCACTACCACCATGACCATCACCATCATACTCACAACCATGACCATCATCTTCATCACCATCATCATAGCCATCCTCCTCCTCCATCAACGGCATCAGCATGGTCATCATCATAATCATAATCCACATCATCATAGCCATCCTCCTCCTCCTCATCAAAAACGGCATCAGCATGATCATCATCATAATCATCCTCAGCATCACCATCACCATCACCACCATCGTCATCATCATCACCATCATCATCATCATCATCATAATCAGCATCATCATCGTCAACGTCGTCGTCGTCGTCGTCTTCGTCATCGTCGTGAACGTGATCGTCATCATCATCATCACCATCATCATCAACATCATCATCATCATCCTCATTCTCATCCTGGTCCTCGTCCGCATCTGTATCCGTGTCCGCATCTGGATAGTAATCCTCATCCTCATCCTGGTTTTCATCCTCGTACTCATCCTCATCCTCATCCTGGTCCTCTTCCCTCCTCCTCCTCCTCATCATCATTATAATCATCATCACCATCACCACCAACATTTCCATCATCGCCCTTCGCTTCAGCACCCGAACTCAATCCGATCCTTCCCCCCACCCGCCCCTTCCCATGTCCTCCTCCCCTTCCCCTCCCCGATCAACTTGCCACAGCCGCTCCGCATCCGCCTTCACCCACCTCATCCCCCAAATCCTCCTACAACACTTCTGCTGCTGCCACCCCTCCTGCTCCGCCTCGTTAAAACAGGGCTAGGATCGGGATAAATCGCCCCAGAGCGTTCCGGAGCGCTCTCAGAGCGTTCCGGAGCGCTCTCAGAGCGTTCCGGAACGCTCTGGAGCGGCCGCGGCGCCCAATACATTCTCCAAACCCGCCGATTCTCACAGATTTCGAGTTATCCCGATCCGATTTTGTCCCGATCTTCGCGTCGTTTGCTTCGTCCTCCTCATCCCCTCTCCCTCACATTTCCAATCACCCTACCCCTCCTGGTCTGCCCCTCCCTCACCGTTCCACTCCACCTCCCCCATCCCCCTTGCTCTCCCCCGCCTCCTCCCCCCCTCCTTAGTCGTATCATCCATGTGCTCCTATCGCCTTCTCCTCCTCCTCCTCCTCCTCCTCCCCGCCAATTCCTTTTCCTTGCAACAAACTGGCTTCTCCCTATCACACTCCGAGGCCAATTCTTAGGGCGGGCCGGACGTTTCGCCCGAGACTTCCTCACCATTTATGACACTGAAGCTTCACAATTGGCAACGTTTTCACAGATGGAGGGCGGGTCGTTTTCAAACTGTGGCCGTCGCCTTAGCGCCGCGCACATTCGTTCTAAACGTTAGCGAGAGTTTCGCGGATTGCAAGAGTTTCGCGGATTGAAGGGAACCTGCTTTCACTATGTGGCTCTCGCCTCACCGCCGCGTACATTCCTATTAAAACTTCGCAAGAGTTTCGCGAGTGCAATGCTAACCACTTGCAAGAGTTTCGCGGATTGAGGGGAACCTGTTTTCACTATGTAGCTCTCGCCTCACCGCCGCGCACATTCCTATTCAAATTTCGCAAAATCTTCATGGATTGAGGGCGGCTCATTTTCAAAATGTGGCTCCCGCCTTAGCGCCGCGCACAGTTGTTAATATACATTGCAAGAATGTTGCGGATTTCTATGTTCAAATTACCACAAAGTGGTGTTTCAGAACGATACAGGATTATGAGGGTGCAACGGTTACGTTCATTCGTGGTGTTGAAGTCCCAACAATGGCGTTCGGGCACGATTCGGGACCGTCAAAACGCAGCAGTCAGGTTGATCCGTGGCGTTGGAATCCCGAGAACCATGCTGTGGCATGCTTCAGGGTCTTCAAACGGTGTCTTCCAACGAGGCAGTTAGTTCCCTCAATGGGAATGAACCGTTGTAGGGGGGCCTATGAAGAAGGAGCTTGGAGGGAGGATGTATTCCAACATCGTTGATGACACTTGGGCTTACACTGGTCCTCCTCCTCCTCCTCCTCCATACCTGCCCCCCCGTCCTGTTCTTCACCGTTCCCCCTCAATGGCTTCGAGAAAACAATCGTGACTCCGGGGGGCCATACCGCTACTCCCACCGCTCCTTGCTCCAACCAACTAATCTTGGGATATCGGCGGCGCAAGCCCCTGGAATAATAAGACGGCTCTTTGGGCATATTGGTCCCCTTGGAGATGTCTTTGATGAGGGAGCCGGACGAGATCTTTTTGGTGGCCGACCTCAGCTGGAGGCAACGAGGGTCTGACCTCTGCATCCACTCGCCTCCTGTCGGTCCCCCTCTCCGTGCCCCTCCCCTCGAGGGGAGGACGAGGAGGAAGCTGCACGTCATGCGCCAGACGAGGTGTAGAAACGGCAGCGCCGCCAGCACTGCACGATGCCCAGCGCGTTGTCGCCAAACAGCTCACTCGTGCAGCAAGCGTGGAGCTCACTTCAGGCAGTCACCGCTCTGCCACTCGTGATCGTCGAGCAAGCAACGGACATGTGTGCTCGGTGGTTCAAAGATGGGATCCTAAGGGATGGGGCCCTAAGGACAGGGTGCCTCAAACAATGTAATTCCACCCTTCGATCTCTTCCTATCCTGAAAACCCAATCCCTGCGGACCCCATCTGGCGGTTTCGCAAATCGGGGGGGTATCGGCAAGGTATCGGCAATACATCGCCGATTGCAGCTCGATGATCGATTGCAGTCGAACCTGGGCCAGAAGAACATCCTCCCAGAACACCCTCTGCCCTTCAAAACACACAGAACATCCGATGGTACCCTCCCCAGGATGCAAAAGCACGTCCAACAAACAAGAAGAACATTAGGCTAACCCTATGCCCCTGAGATTCTAAGGGTGGGAATCAGAAAGTTCGGGGTCCAGGGATGATGGTAATCTTCTTGACGGTGGAAGGGGATGTTGAGGAGGATGCTGAGGATGTTGATGAGGATGATGATGATCTGGCCATCGCTCGGACGTCCATTCCCTGTACTTTCTTCGGTTTCGTGCGTGTTTTGTTTTGCTCGATGGTCCAGGATGGTCCTCGATGGTTCTCGCCGAGATAAAATGCACACGTCCGAGCGACGCCAAGTGATGGGGAAAAGAGGGAAGGGGTCGTGCGCCACTAGCAGCTCGTTTTCTTCTCGGCAGCCGCGACGTCTTTGGCGGAGAGCCGCAGGCGAGGGGGGCGAGGAGGAGGAGGAGCAGCAGCAGCAGGAGGAGGAGGCAGAGGAAAAGGAAGGGCGCTCTTGGGCGCTCTTGGGACCGTCTTGGAGCCCTCTTGGGCCTCTTGGGACCTCGTTTCGCCTGAGACATCCTCGCAATCATGAGAAATGTGAGCTTCACCTGGGAGGTTTTCGTCGGAAAGACTACAGGGCAGATTTTTAAAACAGTGGATGTCTAAACATATTGGATTTTAACATATGAGTAAGTTATGAAACAAATCATGCATGAACTCATCGTTTTTTAATACTAAATCCCTGCAGTTTCAATACATGATCCGCACGCGGAGCATGTATAAAACGGCATTGGAAGGAGGATGAAGCCCCATTTGGGAGCTGTTCTGCCGGAGCGGGCCTCGGATTCAGCGGGATTGAGCCGGATTGAGCGGGATGCAGCGGGATTGAGCGGGACTCAGCCGGACTTCGGACCAGTGCAACATCAGAATCTGACCTCCCAGGAGTGGCATCCCAGGAGGTCGGCCCCGACACTGACATCGGCGGCGTGCCTCCACGGAGGAGAGGTGCTCCCGAGCTCGGTCATGGTGGCCATAGTTGGGCGTCCTTGACGGGGCCCTGGGACACACAAGTAAATGCACACAGATACCAGGATTCCCCATCTGTGCCAATATTTTCTGGGCTTTGGTCCTCCCGCCCACCTCCCATACTTTCCCATGTTCTCTGGGGACTCGACGATGAAATTGTGTCTGTGTGTTCTTGTTTCCCTCCTGACCAGTGGCCACAGTTGGGCGTCCTGGGAGGCCGAAGGACCACCACCGACGCCGACTTCTGGGCTCGTCCTCCCCTTGCTGTGGCATGCCCGGTGGGCCAGTGTTGGCACCCCACGCCCAGCCCCACGCTTGGAAAGCGGCCACGGAGCCCCGGCTCGAGCGGCCGGCGCGAGGCCTGCTGCGCACGGCTGGGACCCCCCGGAGTGCAAGAGCACCGACAGGGGGAACGAGTGCCGCATTCCTCACCACCGGAGGCCGGCCGAGAAAGGCCAGAGGGATGGGGGCGGAAGATCTCACCGCATCGGCAAGGCATCAGCAACGCGTCCTGGGAGGCCGAAGGCTCACCACCGACGCCGACTTCTGGCATCGTCCTCCCCTGGCTGCGGCACGCCCGGCGGGGCGGTGTTGGCACCCCACGCCCAGCCGCACGCTCGGAGCGCGGCCACGGAGCCCCGGCTCCAGCGGCCGGCGCGAGGCCTGCTGTGCACGGCTGGGACCCCCCGGCGTGCACGAGCACCGACAAGGGGGAACGCATGCCGCACTCCTCGCCACCGGAGGCGGGCCGGAAAAAGGCCGGAGGGATGGGGGCTGGAGATCTCACCGCATCGGCAAGGCGTCGGCAACGCGTCGGCGAAGCCACAGTGGAGAACATAGGGCTGCCGATCGTGCCGCATCGCCGATGTATTGGCGGATCGGCGCGATCCTCCGACCCCATCTACTCTGGTCCCCTTCGGGCGGCCTGGATCTATGTAGCCCACAGGCACACACGAATGCTGTCAAGAAGATGTCAACATGTCGGGCACGCATCGGATGCCCGTCCTGGGTGCGGGGAACTCTGTGGCAAGTGAGCGGAATGACAGACCCAGGCGGCAACGAGCAGTCATTGAAATTGTGGTCGGCCTCTGGCCGCAGTGCTCAGCCAAGTGCTCTCACCAGTCCTCTGATAGAGCCACCCGGCGTGGCCCGGGGAGAAGGTGGGCCGAGGAGGAAGTACGGTCATCGGCCTGACCTAAGGAACGATAAATAAGGAACGAAGCCCCATTCTTTATCCCAAGGAATAACGCATAAGGAACGATAAATAACACATAACGCATAAGGAGCTGTAAATGACGCATGCAAACCTAAGGAACGACCGCGCCCCTTTTGAAAAATAAGTGTTCCTTATTCAAGCCGCTCACTGTAGGGCGGAGGGAGGTCCGGAGGGATGGCCGAGAGGGGCGGAAAGATCAGGGGCGGTGGAAAGCCAAAGCTAGCCGGCAGACTTGCCCCAGTGCAGGGCGTACTCGTCCAGCTTGTCCTCTCGAAGGGTCACGGAAACTTGACAACACACCGTGGTGGCCTGCCTGTGGAGAACTGCCGTATGAAGCCCAAGCTCCCTTCAAAACGTGCCCCCTCGTCTGCGCACGAGAAAAATTGCTGGATGAAGTCCGGACCATCGGCGCCTTCCCCACTTCCTCCAACGTCTCCCCTTTTCCCATCCACCTCTCAATCCGCCGCATCCCCGTGACAGTCACACAACATGAACTCACTGCTCGCCTCTCTCCCTCCACGGCGCCCCTGTACCTCCCCAGACAGTGTGCTTCTCACATGGGATGGCCCAAGGTGGCCAGTGGAGTCCTCTTCCCTAGGTGCCGAAATGCCCTCGGTCGTTCAGGATGGCCGATGCTGCTCTCGCCTTGTCGACGGCCACACTCCTGGCTCGCCGTGCCTGCGCACCAGGGACCAAGGAGAGAGCGGGACGGAGGACCCGAGAGCCCCTCCTAAAAGTCTACGAGAGGTGTTTGAGACGTGCGAGATTTTCAACATTGTTTAGGAGGGCCTTGAGGGGGAAGTGGAGGCCGAACACGATGCGCACGAAGAGAACGAGGATGGCAGGATGTGGAGGACAAAAAAAGAGGCATGAAGGGAAGGGCTGGAAGAAAAGGCGGAAAGTGGAGGAGGAGTTGGAAGGGAGCGGGAATAACTCTTGGGACGTCTTCGCAAGAACGGTAAAATGGTATTAAGCCTGATTGCATGGCCACTGAACCAGATTGAGCTGGGAGTAAGCCGTACTAAGCGGGTTGGTGCGAGGTTGAAAAAGATCAGGCGGAAATCTACTGGATTAGGCCAGCTGCCGACAACGGATTACCAGCGCCGATGCTGAGTTCAACCTACCAGGAGTTGCACCCTGGGGATTGGAAGACGACATGATGACAAGGGCGAAGCAGAGGGTGAGGACGAGGAGAAGAAAACCGAGGGAAGACGAGGAGCAAGATCAGAACGATGAGCAATACGAGGACGGGGGGGAATCAGAGGACGAATAAGGGGAAGATGAGAAAGACAGGACGCGGTGGTGGAGGAGAAGACAGGCATGACTAGAGACGGGCCAGGATGAATCAGGGAGGAGGGACGGGGAAGAGAGAAGGGCGAGGGGAGCGAGGCTGTTGTGGAGTGCGAAGAGACAGGGCAGGAAGGGGAGAGGCGAGAGGCGATGTAAGAATGGTGATGGGTGGGGGGTGAAGGACAAGGAGGAGGGACGGGAGGAGGGAATGCTGGAAAGGGAGGAGGGATGTGAGATCAGCATGGCTGAGGTAGGACCGCCCCCTGTCCCGAACTTGGCCACGATCTGTCACCATGGTAGGAGGCAGAATTCGTAGGACCAGGGAGAAGGCAAGCCCAGGCACCCCATGAGTCCACGTTCTCGCCTCGTAGTACGACCCCCGGGCGCAAGACCAGACGCGCTCACGCAAGAATCATCGGACGCCCTGCAGGCGTCTGAAACAGTCGTCCAGCATTATCGCCTGCAACACTGGCCATCGCTCGGACGTCCACTCCCTGCGCTTTTCTCGGTTTCGTGCGCGGTCTTTCTCGCCAAATGATCCAGGATGCTCCCCGATGGTCCTCGCCGAAGGAAAAATGCACACGTCCGAGCGATGCCAAGAACAGCACAAACCACAACAGTTCCCGAGCACCGAAATAACTTGGCCGAAGCGGAGACAGCCACAGCGAAGCAATCGCCCGCGCGGCTCGCTGGCACGTGCCAAGGCGGCCGCGGAGACAACCTCCAGCTACAACCGTCCGCGCGCGCGCGCCGCCCAAGCCCCAGGCCAGGGCGCGGACGCCGCGACCTGAAGGTCGCCCTTCCCACACGCGGTGGCGAAGCGGCGCCGCAGAAGAAGCAGAGGAGGAGAGGAGGAGGTCGAGCCAAGTGGAAAAGCGAAGGGGGAGAGAGGAGACTTCCATCCTCGTCGCTTGCCCTGTTGATGGTGACAGTGCCGCCGAGCTCCCCCTTGTCGCCGTCGTCGTCCTCGAAGACGATGCCCCCAGGCTTCGCCTGTGCAATAAAGCTGCACGTGGGCGCTGAGAGCAGTGGCATTACACGTACGCGTGCAACAGGAGGTATGTCGATCCCTATCCCAGGCTTCGTGGTGTGTTGGAATGGGCCAGACGTTTTGGGCCCAACGCTGGGATATACGATGGAAGGGCGTCCATCCTCGATCATGGGAGCGTCCGAATAGCCCCCTTGGGGTGTATCCCAAGGCTTCCCTCCTCTTTTTGACCGGCCAAGCTTTTCGGGCGGAACTCGCCGTACGCGCCGTCGACAAAGCATGCCCCCCGCAGGGGTGGCCGAATTTCTGGCAACGAAGACAAGCATACAGTGTGGGCGCGGCCGCAAGAAACCCAACCCTGAGAACCCGTGCGCGAGGTGCACCTGAGGGGAAACCTGGAGCACCCTGAACGCAGCACCTCCTTCAACGGTTGCGGGAAGTCACCGCGCAGCGCGAGGAGAGAAGAAACCCAGGGCACCCTGACGAAACCCAGATGGTTTTCTGATGGGCGCCCTCACACTGTACTGAACTGGCAGGAGCAAGCCTCGCCGGGGACGGGCCTCGGATCGAGACAGGACCCCAAACACAGCTTATGCCTTTGTGTACGCGGTGCGTCCTCCTTCGCTGGGCCGGGGGTGCCTCGGCCTGGGCCTCTGCGCGAGGGGGGGAGGCGCAGAGGGCGAAGAGGGCAGCGCCGAGGGGCAGGGCACGCTGGGGGGAGCAGGAAGGACGGCGAGCAGGGGCCGGCCGTCCCTTCACTTCTGTAGTCCTACCACGAAGTGTTCTTAGAACCCAATAATGTTCTCAGATTTGTTTTTACAACAACTTTCTTAGAACATGAACCCGATGTGATACAACAAGACGGACTCCGCCAGACATGTTCTAAGAACATTTCGTGGAAACCACAAAAGGTTCTCAGAACATCGCTTGGTAGGGCTATAGGCGAGCCTGGACGCTTCGCCACTGCTTGAAGGACGGCGAGCTGAAGTGTCACATGGCAGGCAAGCGGGCCCTGAGTGAAACCCGCGCGGCGGCAGCGGGCCAGCGCGCAAAAGTCGTTCAGGGTGCCCGACTTCTGCGGGTAAGACTTGTGTCCATGTCCACTGCAGCCTGAAAGTTTGGGCTCCCAGGCGCACTGGAGATGTATGGGAATCCAGCCCCCATAGAGGACCGATGCTTATCCATATCAAGTGCGCCTCGACCTCGTTTGAGCAGGGACCGACCGTCCCGGCATTCCCATAGCCCGACCACGGAATGTGATAATACAAGACAAACTCCGCCAGAAATGTTCTAAGAATATTTCGTGGAAACCACAAAGGGTTCTTAGAACATTGTTTGGTAGGGCTATAGGCGAGCCTGGACGCTGCGCAAATGCTTGACTTGTGGCGCCCCTTTCCAAGAACATCCAAATCGCAACGGATATAGAGAATAGTACGTCTTGCCCGCGCAGCAGGTGCCTGAGGCTCTGTCCGCGGTTATGTAGCTCCAGGGCCCTCCACGGCCCAGGGGCTGTCCAAGAACTGCTCAGGCTGACTTCAAGGCCCCTGCTCTTCGTCGGGGGGGAGGAAGCCTGGAACATGACCGCGGCTGCACGCGGAAACGTCGTGTCGATCTTGGTCACCGTCGATCTTGGTCAGCGTCATTACGTGGCCCTCCTCGCGGATCGGCGACGGCCGCCATAAATGATGGCCAAGATCGGCACCGACGAGATCCGACAAGATCCCGCGACATCTTGGTCATTGTCCAATTACTTTTTCCCTCGACTTCATGCCGATGAGCGGCATCACGTTCAGCACCCAGGAGCACGGCGCAGCCCGTGACGAAAGTCTGCTGTACAGTTCAAAACTCTCGCCTTTGGCGGTACCTGAAACTTATTGCGGTCCCAGACATGCGATGTCTGGATTGTTCGCAACGTCGGCACCGAAATCCCAAACCCTCTCCTCAGGGCCCGTCTCTCATCCTGAGCCGTTTCTTGACGGTCCCGAGGCCCAGCGAGGGCCCCTGAACGCCGAAAACTGCAAGACACCTCCCGTCGTGACCTTTGTTTCCACAACGCGAGCATGTCTGGGGCTGTCGCAGGCAGCGGCGTTGCGGATGGCGCGGCGTGGAGTAGCGCGGGCGAAATGCTCGGGCGTGGGTCGGGTGCCCCGCTGCACGTGGAAATGCGCGCCAGCATCTTCGTGGCAATGGCGGTGCACGCCGTTCCCGCAGACCACCCTGAAAGCGACCGCCGTCCTGCTTCGGTGGGGGCCCCTGAGCCCCACACCCTGGACACCACTCGACCCAACGGGTTAAGTCGGGCGTGCCCCCCTAGAGGGGGATTTTGGACGAAACATAACAAATACCGAAAACATATGCCACAATTGTCAAAATTAGTAAAAACAAAAATAGTCCCTGTACTATTTCTTGACTTTGTTTACATTCCTCCCGTAGATGGACGGGCCCGACTTCACCCAAAGGACCACTCGAGCCGTGCCCGCTCCTTCCTCGCCCTCCCCGTCCGCAGGCGAGCCCAGGATCGAATCGAGACGTCGGCTCGGCGATCGACGCTGAATACAACTTGGCTCGAATCGACGAATCGATCGATCGATCGATCGACGCTCGAATCGATCGATCGATCGACGCTCGGCGATCGACGATCGGCGATCGAGAAGGGCTCCCAACTTCGCGCTTCGCGCTGCGCGACGCGCGAAGTGCCAATGACTTCGCGCTCTCGCGCCGCCTCCCAGGGGAGAGGCGGAGAGGTGAGGAGGAAGCGGAGCCGAACCGCGGAGCGCGAATGACTCCGCGCCCTCGAGGACGCCCTCGAGGAATCGGATCAGCGGAAATCGGCAGCCAAATCGCAGGCAGAACTCGGCAAGCTAGTGGGCCTCAGTTGAGAATTCGAAACGGACATCGAAGCCGAATCGGAATCGGAATCGAAAGAATCGAAATCAGCCATGCGTCCGCCTCCTCCCCTCCCCCTCCTGATCCCCTCCTCCTTGCCTCTATTCCGCCTGCCCCCCCCGGGAGCTGCAGGAGGCGGGAGGCGACGAGGACGACTCCGAGGCCCGCCCGACAGCTGAAGCCTTGCCGCCGCCGCTGCCGCTCAGACCTTCAAACCAACATCCAATATGTACGCCGGTTCACCTGGTCCGCCCCCTCCTCCTCCTCCAGCCTTTCCTCGCCAACGTTGGCGCCATCGAAAATACAGAAGGGGCGTTGACCTAAGGAACCCCAAATAAGGAACGAGGCTCCTTCTTTCAATAAGTTAACCTTCGATTTCCTTTCGAAAACATAGGGGAAGCCTGAGGCAAGCTGTGAAACACTTGAGGAACGCGGAGCCCCTCCCCAACGAAAAGGGTTCCTTCTTCAGGGCCCCGACTGTAGTTTCTGGGCAGCGGAACGCGAGACGGGATTATTTCCCGCCGTGGCCTTGGGCGCCACGGCGTCCTTCAGCGCCACGTTGCCCGGCGTGAGGTACTCGCCTTGAAGTGTGGGCGCGCGCTCCGCGCCGTCGAGGGATAGGGCGAAAAAGGCCAAGGGGCACGGAAAGGGATAAGAGAAGAATAAGGCGGGAAGGATGATGGTGATGATGGTGATGATGATGATGAGGATGATGAGGATGATGATGATGATGCTGCTGCTGATGATGATGGTGATGGTGATGATGATGATGATGATGGTGATGCTGATGATGTTGATAGTGATGGTAATGCTAATTCGAAGGATGTCGATGCTGATGATGCTGATAGTGATGGTGATGGTGATGGTGATGATGATGATGCAGATGATGATGCTGCTGATGATGGTGGTGATGGTGATGATGGCCATGATCATGATGGTGGAGGTGGTAATGATGGGTGGCGATTCCGAAGCCAGGCGGTTCAATGTGTGCGAGAAGGTGCCAAGCAAGGACTGCAGCCGCTGCGCACGAGCAACAAGTTTCATGGCCAGTACACGCACCACTGGCTCCAGCCGTAGTCGATCACACAAATGTCTAGATTCTTGAGACGCTGGCAGAATATGTCATGCCAAGCGACGTCTATTGCTCATAAATCTTGCCACCGGCACCGAGGACCTTCCGCTGGCCATCTTGTCACGGCGGCCTCGGCGAGGGTGCGATGGCCGCGCCAAGCCCCTGTCAAGCTGGTGGGAGCCTCACATGTGTGCACCAAGGTCTGCAATCCTCGGCCCGAGCCCGAGCCAAGGCGCAACCATGTTGCCGAGAACCTCAGGATTGCAAGCCCACTCCCAAAGAATGTCCAATGTACTCCAGATTTCGTAATAAAAGGGAGGGGGTCTGGACCCTCCAAGACAAGCCATTTCAGACCCCCCCGTGGGAGAACCCTCCAAAACATCGTCCCCAGACCCCCCCAGGCCCTCCAAGATAGCCTGGAAGAGACCCCCCCCCGAAATGAGACCCCCCTCCCTTTATTAGGAAATCTGGAGTACTCTGTCCAGCATAGCGGGTCCAGAGGAAGACCGCTCCTGGGCCCCCACCTTGACATCCTGCAAGGCTTCTGGAGGGCATGGACTTCTCAAAACGGGGCTACCCTGGGCGTCCCTCCAGTGGAGGGAGCATCCTCTACAACGAGCGCCCTCGTCCGACCGGCGGACCGGCCGGCCGCTCGTCCGTCGAGGGGGGGCGCCCACGGTGGAAAGGCGGACCTGCACAGACTTACGCAGAGGGGATCTGGTCCTGGGCTCTCCCGCCTGACCCCCTCCTCCTCCTCCTCACCCTCCCCTCGTCCTCCTCCTCCTCCTCCTCCTCCTCCTCCTCCTCCTCCTCCTCCTCCTCCTCCTCCTCCCTCCTCCTCTCTCCTCCTCCTCCTCCTCCTCCTCCTCCTCCTCCTCCTCCTCCTCCTCCTCCTCCTCCTCCTCCTCCTCCCCCTCCTCCTCAGCTCGAGGGGGCGCGCCGTACTCGTTCTTGGAGAACACCAGCAGGTGCGACGCAGCGCTCGGAAAGGGCGTGCCCGCCGGGATGCTGAAGAACGCATCGCCCCCGGTCGGGCTGACCTTGGTGCACCCACCGTCGGGAAGGCCGCAGAGGTGACGGCGGGGGGCGAGAGGGGCAGGACCAGGCAGCACGGCATCGACAACTCGGGCGGGATCGCAGCGCGCGTCGGGTCGGGCCGCATCGGCGCGGAGTCGAACTCGAATCGGGTCGGCGGCGCCAGGAGACAGTACAGCGCCAGGCGAGCATCGGATTGCCAAAACATCGAAATCGGATTGGCTCGGGCGGGCTGGGCTCGATGTCGCGTTGAATCGATCGGATCGAACTGGACCCTGAGGGGTGCTGCATATCGGAGATTTCAATGGCCTGGCCATGATACAAGTATACACATGATAATATCCCCCCTCGCGTCGACGCCCCCTAATATCCGGCGGCTCGGAAAAAAATATAGAATTACGCCACCGAGGAACCCCACATACTTATATTATGGCTGGAGTAATGATAGCTGAAGTGAAGCATGTGAGAATGATGTTGGTGGCCGTTGCCCCGCCGACACCCTTGCACTTCGAGATAGTGCCACGACTGTTGCTGTTGAGCCCCCCAACATTGGCGCGTATAGAGACTGCGGTGCAGGACCACCTCCTGCCACCTCCTCTGGTGTCGAGAAAGTGCCACGCTTGCTAGGCCCTGCGACATTGGCGCGTATAGAGGCCGCGCTGAGGGCGGCACACCCACTGGTGCCTAGAACATACCACGCCTGCTGAGCCTTGCGACATTGGCGCGTATAGACACCGGGGTGAGGGACCACCTCCTGCGCACCGCCTCCGGTGTCGAGAAAGTGCCACGCCTGCTGGGCCCTAGAACATTGGCGCGTATAGAGACCGCGTTGAAGAACCACCCCTTGCGCACCCCCTTCGGCGTCGAGAAAGTGCCACGCCTGCTAGGCCCTGCGCCATTGGTGCGTATAGAGGCCGCGCTGAGGGACCAACATTTGCGCACCCCTTCTGGTGTCGAGAAAATGCCACGCCTGCTAGGCCCTGCGACATTGGCGCGTATATAGACCGCGCTGAGGGACCACTCCCTACGCACCCCCTCCTGTGGCGAGAAAGTACCACGCCTGCTAGGCCCTGTGACATTGGCGCGTATGGAGACCGCGCTGAGGGACCAACCCCTGCGCACCGCCTCTGGTGTCGAGAAAGTGCCACGCCTGCTAAGCCCTACAACATTGGCGCGTATAGAGACCGCGCTGAAGGACCACCACTTGCGCACCCCCTCTGGTGTCGAGAAAGTGACACACCTGATAGGGCCTGCGGCATTGGCGCGTATGGAGACCGCGCTGAGGGACCACCCCCTGCGCACCCCCTCTGGTGTCGAGATAGTGCCACGCCTGCTAGGCCCTACAACATTGGCGCGTATAGAGACCGCGCTGAAGAAACACCACTTGCGCACCCCCTCTGGTGTCGAGAAAGTGCCACGCCTGCTAGGCGGTGCAACTTTGGCGCGTATGGAGACCGCGCTGAAGGACCACCCCTTGCGCACCCCTTCCTGTGGCGAGAAAGTGCCACGCCTGCTAGGCCCTGCGACATTGGCGCATATAGAGACCACGCTGAGGGACAACCCCCTGCGCACCCCCTCCTGTGGCGAGAAAGTGCCACGCCTGCTAGGGTTTGCGACATTGGCGCGTATAGAGACCGCGCTGAGGGACCACCCCCTGCGCACCGCCTCAGGTGTCGAGAAAATGCCACGCCTGCTGGGCCCTGCGACATTGGCGCGTATAGAGACCGCGTTGAAGAACCACCCCATGCGCACCGCTTCTGGTGTCGAGAAAGTGCCACGCCTGCTAGGCCCTGTGACATTGGCGCGTATGGAGACCGCGCTGAGGGACCAACCCCTGCGCACCGCCTCTGGTGTCGAGAAAGTGCCACGCCTGCTAAGCCCTACAACATTGGCGCGTATAGAGACCGCGCTGAAGAAACACCCCTTGCGCAACCCCTCTGGTGTCGAGAAAGTGCCACACCTGATAGACCCTGCGGCATTGGCGCGTATGGAGACCGCGCTGAGGGACCACCCCCTGCGCACCCCCTCTGGTGTCGAGATCGTGCCACGCCTGCGAGGCCCTGCAACATTGGCGCGTATAGAGACCGCGCTGAGGGACCACCCCTTGCGCACCCCCTCTGGTGTCGAGAACGTGCCACGCCTGCGAGGCCCTGCAACATTGACGCGTATAGAGACCGCGCTGAGGGACCACCCCTTGCGCACCCCCTCTGGTGTCGAGAACGTGCCACGCCTGCGAGGCCCTGAAACATTGACGCGTATAGAGACCGCGCTGAGGGAACACCCCTTGCGCACCCCCTCCAGTGGCGAGAAAATGCCACGCCTGCTAGGCCCTGCGACACTGGCGCGTACAGAGACCGCGGTAAGGAACCACCACCTGCGCATCCCCTCTTGTGGCGAGATAGTGCCACGCTGTGCAGTGCTGTGCCGAGCTGTACTGTGCTGATGTGCTGTGCTGTCCAGAGCTGTGCTGAGCTGCGCTGTGTGATAAGGAGAAGGAATGGGAGGAGGAGGAGGAGGAGGAGGAGGAGGAGGAGGAGGAGGAGGAGGGGATGTGTGCGGGACACGCGGGTGCGACGCAGCAGGGATGAAAACCAGAACCCCACGAAACATGTGGGGAACAACAACGAAACGACAGGTTTGATGGGCTTCTGGAAATTCGGACGCCAGTCTCGAGCCCCAAGGCTATCCATACAATTGTTTTGAGCAGGGACCGACCGTCCCGGCATTCCTACATCCTTACCACGAAATGTTCTTAGAACCCAACAGTGTTCTAAGAACAAAAGCGATGTTCTTAGAACATAAACCTGATGTGTTAAAACAAGACAGACTCCGGCAGACATGTTCTGAGAACATGTCGTGGAAACCTCCGAAGGTTCTTGGAACATCGTTTGGTAGGGCTATAGGCGAGCCAGGACGCTTCGCCACTGCTTGAAATTCATAACGACAAGATGGCACCCAGCATGAGACAACATCAGGCCTGGAACTCGGATCGAGCCAGAGACGCGCGCCAGATGGGGCCGCGCAGGCACGACATCACACCGAAACAGGGCGCGCCAGGATGCGCAACAGCCGCGCCGAGCAGGCCTCTGGCCGCATCAGACTGCGAGAACCAAAGCGGGTCGGGCCAAGCTGAATCGGCATCGAAGCAGACCGAGCCAACCTTTAGGAGGCAACTACTGGGAGGCTTTCGTCGGAAATATTACGGAGGATTAAGCCCCATTTGGGAGCTGTTATGCCGGAATGGGCCTCGGATTAAGCCGGATTGCGCGGGATTAAGCCGCATTAAGCCGGATTTCGGACCAGTGCAAAAGCAGAATTTGACCTCCCAAGAGCTGCATCCGAACCAACCGAAACGCACCCCGGTCTGGGGGCCCCACGTCTAACCATCCTCGAGCCGATCCGGATGCCTGGCATGGGCACGCCCAGAGGCCCGCAAAGACCCTGGGGATGCGCACTCAGAAGCGGAGGTCATTCTTCGGATCGACATCGAAAGAAGGTGGTGCCAATCATACGGGTACTGGCCATCGCTCGGACGGCCATTCCCTGTGCCTGTTTCGGTGTCGTGCGGTTGTTGTTCTCGCAGGATGATCCAGGATGCTCCTGAAGAATCCCCGCCGAGAAAAAGTGCACACGTCCGAGCGATACCAAGGGTATGGATGGTTTTTCGGGTCGGGCGAATGGGGGGGATAGCAAAGGGGGGGTTTGAGAATCAGCTCACGTAGCTGTTTTTCCCGGCGCCTCCAGGGGCGCCGGAGGCGCCCATGTATCGAGGAATGGGCCCCTCGGTGAGGCCGAAATCAGCTGCATGCAGCAAATTTCGTAACCCCCCTTTCCCAATCCCCCCCTTTCGTCCGTCCCGATCTTCACAAAAGAATCGTGCCGTCGGATGTCCAGGCCCCGGCGGAGAGCACCGACGAGACGGCGGCGAGTGGGCCCGCGGCGACAGCCTCTCTGCCGCACCCCCGTATGCTCCGACCCCATCCAATCTTGCTCCTCCTCCTGCTCCTCCCTCTTCCCTCCTCCCCCATCCTGCCTCCTCCCTCCTCCCTCCTCCTTCCTCCTCCCTCCACCTCCTACTTCTCCCTCCGTCCGTCTCCGCCCATTGGTCCGTGGCTGCTTCCCGCCAGCGCGGTCGTCACAGGCGAGGACGAGGCAGCCAGTCGCCGAGGCAGCGCCCAGGAGGTCATGCGGGAGCAGATGGAGGCGCCCCTCGGCAATAGGTTCAATAGGACGGCAGAGCAGATGCCAAGACGGAGGTCGGAACGATGTGCGGCCTGGCCCCAGGCACGCTCGACCGGCCGCCGAAGATGGACGCCAACCTCGTCGAGAGGCTGATGCTTGTGCTAGTCAAGGCGGTCGTGGGCAACACATTCCGGATCAAGATGCTAATGGCAGCCGCTTTCCCGACCTTCTCTTGATGGACGGGGACGCCCCGACGATCAAGGCAGCTTTCCAAGCGGGGCGCGCCTGCGCGACGGCGGCGAGGGATGAGGGGGGAATAGAACAGGTATCCTACCAACAAGCAGTCCCAAGAGGCTGCCATGAGGCCACCGTGCGTGCACATATTCTTGGCGGCGTGCGCGCAGATAACGAGGAGTTTGGGAAAAAGCAAACTTGGAACATCCACAAAAGGAAACTTGACAGCGTCGCCGACATGAGCGAAACGGCAACGATAGTGAAGGAAATCCGCGTCGGCCAGGCATACAAAAAAGGCGCGGCCTTAGTAATTGTCACCGAGAGACGCAGTCATGATGAAGGTGCTCGCAGACTGTCTCGTCCAACTGGGCACCGATCACAAAAGAGGCGTGGCGCAGAGGTCGAATGTGGAGAGGAACATACAGATGGCCAGGACTCGTAGATGTGAGGAGGAAGGCACCACAAGCACCACGTTAATAGGTGAACAAAAAGTGGCATAAACATAACAACTCGGAGGTCCGAGCGGATTTCTCGGAACGGCGCTCGACCCCCCTCCCTGGCGCGCGGAGCGCGCCAGGGACGGCGTCGGAGGCGCCGCCAGGGGGCCCGAGCGCCGATCCGAGAAATCCGCGCAGACGTTTGAGTTCTAATGTTGATGCCACTCTTTGTTGCCCTTATGCAGACGGCCAGGACTCGTAGATGCAAGGAGGAAGGCACCACAAGCGCCACGTTACAGTCGGGGCGTTGACCTAAGGAACCCTAAATAAGGAACGAGGCCCCTTTTTTCCGTAGGTTAAACTTCGATTTCCTATCGCAAACACAAGGAAAACCTGAGGCAAGCTGCGAAACACTCAAGGAACGCGGAGCCCCTCCCCAACCAAAAGGGTTCCTTCTTCAGGGCCCCGACTGTAAGAGAGACGGAGACGCACAGACTTCGAAGTGTGGCCGAGTTCAGACACGTAGCTTCAGTGTCCTACGCGCGCCTCGCCTCCTGCGCGGCCTGGGGCCCTGCCGGCCCGGGGCTGCTGGCCCACTCGGGGAGGCCATACAGTCGGGGCGTTGACCTAAGGAACCCTAAATAAGGAACGAGTCACCTTTTTTCCATAAGTTAAACTTCGATTTCCCATCAAAAACATAAGGAAAACCCGAGGCAACCTGCGAAACAACTAAGGAACACCGAGCCCCTCCCCAACGAAAAGGGTTCCTTCTTCAGGGCCCCGACTGTATCTGCTGGCTCGTGTGCGCAGTCCGAGAACTGTAATCGTGGCTGGGCGAAGGCCCCCGCCGTGGGGCCAGCAACTTCCGGCGTCTTCTAACGCGCGCGGGGGGTCGCACATCTCTGAAGCTTCTCGGAATGCGGTGCTTGCTCCATTCGTTCGACATTCGGCCCGACACCGTTTCGCCGCCGCCGCCACCTTCCTCCTCCCCCCCCTCTCCCTCCCCCTCCTCCTCCTCCTCCTCTTCCTCCTCCTCGTCCTACTCCACAATTACTCGATATGAATATACTCTCCCTCTTCCCCTGATGGCGTCCGGGTGATGGCCGCGCACCCTCCGCGTACTTTTTTTTACACACAGGATGCCCGGGAAATCCCGGGAAACGACTCTCGCTGAGGCGCCGGCGTCATTTTTTCCCAAAATGCTGCTCTCGTTGAGGCGCCGGCCTCATTTCTGCCGAATCGTCGTCTCCCGCTGCAGGTGGGCCTTTTTTTCGGATGGTGTTTGGCCTCCGTCGTTCATGGCGTTTCTCCCCCGCGGCCTTTTTCTCGCGCGCCCATCCGCCGCGCCGCACCGCCCACCACCACCACCAGCCACCACCAGCACCACCACCACCACCACCACCACCACACCACCACCACCAGCACCAGCACCAGCACCAGCACCAGCACCACCAGCACATCACCACCACCACCACCACCACACCACCAGACACCACCACCACCACCACCACGACAACCACGCACACATGCACGCACGCACGCACGTGCACCACCACCCACTACGCACGCGCGCGCGGAGCCACAGGTCCGCTACGACACGCGTCCGCGGATAGAGAAAATCAGCGCCATGGTAAGGGATGGGAGGGAGGGGTAGGACGTCAGATATGACGCGAGCGCACCTAGCTTGTCCCCCTCCCCCTCCCCTCCTCTCCCTCCTGGTCATGCTCGCCTCCCTCCCTGCTCCAAATCCGGCGGCACCGCCGACTCGCCATCCTGGGGCATCGCCTACATTCCACGCGCGCTGCACACGCCACACCCCCGTGTGCGCGCGCGGGGGCACTGCCACTGCGGCCTGGTCGCTGGAGTCGCCGCAAGCCTGGCCCGGGCGATCGTCGATTATCAGAGGCCGCGGGTGCACGATGTCGATGCGTACGCGATGTTTATTCGCAGAAGGCATCTATACACCACCACCGTGCCAAGGCAGGGCCATCCGGGGCCCCAGGATGGTGTATACGCCCTCCTGGCCGAGGCCAAGAGGGTCTATACATCATCCTGGGGCCCAGAATGGCCCTGGCCTGGCACGGTGGTGGTGTATAGATGCCTTCGTCGGAGTTTATCCAAAGCCCAGCCGCAATTGTTGTGTTCAACGAGGGGCGTGAGGGCAGCACAACCCACCCCCCCAAACCCCAGCCAGGACGCCCACTTCCGACCTGGCGATCCAGGAGGTCCTGGCTGGGGGTGGGCGCGATTTTTTGTCCCCAAAAGAACCCAAACCACCCCCAACCCGAACCAGGACCCCTGGATCACCAGGGCGGGAGGGAGGGGGTTCCGGCTGGGGATGGTGGGGGTGCTGTCATCAGAGCGACTGCCCGATCGGTGAATTCTACGACGGGGGCACCGCCGCGGGGGGGCTGCCCTGCTCACGGCACGGTGCCGACCGTACACATGTCGAGTTGTCGGCAGCGACGCAGGACACGAGGCGTCGGAAAGTAACAGCCTGGACGCCAGCGCCTGCCGTACACACGCCATTCCATCACGCAGCCGCAGGGCCCCACCCCTCCCTCTTCCCCTCCCTCTCCCGTCCCCCATTCCCCTTGCTCCTCCCGCTCCCGGCCCTTCCCCGCTCCACCCCAGTGGCCTCGCCAACGAGCGCGTTCAGGGGAGGATCCAGTTTCGTCGTCGAGTCCTTCCCCCAGTACAGCACGTATTTGTCTATGTCGAACTCGTTCTTGGCCTTCGTGATCTTCACCTGTCCGAGGGGAGGCGGGGTGGCAAGACGGAGCCAGACGACGTGGGAAAGGACAGGGGGGAGGGCGAGAAGGGGGCAGGAGGAAGGGAAACGATGAGGGATAGGACGATGCACATGGGGACACGGAGAGAGTGGGGGGAAAGGATCGAGGAGGGGTGGGGAGGGGGGAGAGGGAGGAGGAGGTGGAGGAGGAGGACGAGGAGGAGGATCGAGGAGAGGGGAGGATCGAGGAGGAGGGGAAGGGGGGAAGCAAGCAAGGAAGCAAGCACGGAAGCACGCAAGCAAGCGTGCTGCTGTCCGCCGAGTAGCGGGGCCTGGGAGGCCCGCGGGGATGGGCTGGAACCCACAGGGATTGCTGCCGAAGTCGGCGTGCGTCGAGGGGGGACATTCGGACTAAGACGCCGGCTTGCCACCGATGACCCGGGCCCAGGAAAGAAAAAGAAGAAGCAAGGGGGGAAGAGGAGGAATGGGGGAAGAGGGAGGAGGAGAAAGTGGACGAGGAGGAGGAGGAGAAGGAGGAGGAGGAGGAGGAGGAGGAGGAGGAGGAGGAGGAAGAGGGGGACAGGGGGGCAGGGGAGGAGGAAGAGGGGGAGGGGAGGCACTAGCCAACGAAACGCGAGTCGGGGTTCACGAAACCGTGCCCGATGAGGGGCGGGTCGAGGAGAGACATGGGGATGAGCGGAGGGGAAGGGGCGAAGTGTGCCAGGAAGGGTAAGGGATAGACGACAAGGGGACATACGCGAGACGAAAGACGTGATAGGAGAAGGCAGAACAGAAGGGGGAGATGAGGACAAGGGGAACCCGATATATAACATATACGACGATCTGTTTACATATGTATATCTACATATACACAGATATATATATATATATATATATATATATATATATATTATATATAGCTACTTCCACTCCCCAGATGCCAGGACGATGTATTTACTATGGGGACGAGCGCGGGAGGGCGAGGCCACGGCAGGCCGGAGGCTATACAACAGACAGCTGACCCCGGCGATAACCGCACACCCTCGAAGACACTGAAAAGAGCCACCTGAAATCCGTGCAAACGAGAGAGAGCAAGGGAGGAGCGGGAGGGGAGGCTAGAGCGAGATGGCAACGGATGACCATCAAGTGCGGCAACTTCGCCGTGGTACGCAGCATACACTTGTTAAAAGGATCAGCTACTTCCACTCCCCAGATGCCAGGACGATGTATTTACTATGGGGACGAGCGCGGGAGGGCGAGGCCACGGCAGGCCGGAGGCTATACAACAGACAGCTGACCCCGGCGATAGCCGCACACCCTCGAAGACACTGAAAAGAGCCACCCGAATCCCGCAGAGCAGTCCTGGCCACATTAGTGGCCGAAAACGAACTACGCACGTGAAATAACCTAACCTACCGAAAAGAGACTACATGATTTTGAAGGCAGCATCCATCATCCATTTTTCTCTGAGAGCATTGGCAGAATGTGTCATGGCAAGGGCGGCAGCGCGGGCGAACTGAGGCGAGTGCGCTGCAGCCAGCTCGGTGCGGCGGGCAGGCGCACCTTTGTCTCGGCCTTGGAGGATAAGGTGGGGCAGGCCAGTCGACGAGCAAATGCCACCCTTGCCAGAGCAAGACTTACATAGGCTGGGGAAGACGCCTGCATTCCAGCCGGCCACTGTCGTCGGCTTCTTAAAGGGTGTGCCAAAGCGGCACATGTCCATCTTGTGAATGGTGCACGATGAATCCGAAAGAAGCTTGACCATCTCGGGGGCGTGCCAAAGCAGCGACCCGCGAGGGTTCTCCAAAAAGACAGGGCAGCCGATCTGGATGCAGAGCCGGATGAGCCGGTAAGAAAAGTAGAAAGAGCGACTGCCAACGCGGAGGCGGTCCAGCCTAGGTCCGGACAAACCTGGTTCCCCCATGGGGAAACGACTGGAGCGCAACGGGTCTCTGAGAGCCTGCGACCAGGACGTACAGGGAGTGCCCAGCCACAGACCTACGATGGCCTTGCTCAGAAGCCACCCGCGCACGACCGACTCGAACGTGGTGTGGAGGTGATCCTCGCAGGCCCCGTGAACGAGGTCCAGGTCCAGGCACCCGTAGCCAAGGTCGCGGATGCGCTTGGCGATGCGACCCTGTCCTGCAAACAGCTCCAGAAACAGGCAGCTCCTCCACGTGCTCGCGCCAGCACGGCCTCGGCGGTACCGCCGCTGCAGGTGAAGCCGCACGGCCTGAGGCGACGCCGTCAGCGTCGGCGGCGCCGCGTGGCGGCGGGGGCCCCGGGCCCTCCCCGCAGGCGGGGGCCGACGCTCGCGGGCAGCTCGGCCCACACCAGCGGCAGCAGGGGGCCGCCCCGCAACGCGTCCAGGAAGTTGCGCTCCACGATCTCGCCGAACAGCAGCACGTCGGGGTCCACCTTGGCGGCCCCCCGGAGGAGGCGGGTCTCCTTGCCGTAGCGGCGGAGCGAGGCCACTGTGGCCCAGCGACCCCGCCGCATGACCTGTTCCGGCGTCCTGGCGCCCGACAGCAGGTCCTCGCTGGCGCCCCCGTGACGCAGAGAATACAGATGCGGCTGCAAGTGCATCAGGCCCAGGGCGTGGCACGCATCCTCGAAGAGCCGAGCAATCGACGTAGGCAGGAAGTCCCACAAGGGTCCGTCGCCCGCGACAGTCCTCAGCGCCTCCAGGGCAGGCTCGAGCCACGGCGCCTGGTCCAGCAGCACACTCTCGTCCCACAGGTTGGTCTTCCCGGGCAGCTGCAAGTCGGAGTCGTGCAGCAGCAGCCCCCACGGAGTGGGGGCCTGTCCCAGGTGGGCCACCGGCGGCACGAGGTGACGCCCGGCCAGGCGGAAGGCCTCCTGCGGGCGGAGATAGGCCGCGAAAGACAGCATCACGAAGAGCCCCATGCGCGGCTGGCCCCAGGCCGCCAGCGTCCCGGCGATGGCGAAGGCGGCCCGGCGAGGCAGCGGCAGGCGCATCCTGGTCGGGACGCGCCGGCGCCAGCCCGCCAGACAGCGCGTGGCCCTCGGCAAGGCCTGAGCCGTCCTTTTGTACAGCGCCGGCGTGTAGTGTGCCAGCGACGCCAGCAGCGCGGAGCCCTCGTTCGGGGCGCGGCCCTCGAAGTACATCGAATTCAGGTACGTGACCAGGGCGGCGTCCATCTCGACCTCGGTCGTCCAGTCGATGGCCATGACCAGGCAGAACTGCAGGAAGGCCCGGAGGTATACCTGGCACAGGCGCTCCGTGCCCGGCCTGACCGCCGTGCGCTCCAGCACCGAGAGGCCGCCCGAGGGCCCCCGCTCGGACGCCACCTGGCGAGCCGCCGCGGCTCTGCGGTGGCGAACCGCCTGGCGGCGAGAGGCCGAGGCACCCGCCATCGAGGTCAGCTCCTGCAGGTGTCGGCCCGTCAGCCTCGGGGGGCCCCGCGCGAGAGCAGCCAGGCTGGGCGGCCGCAGCGCGTCGGTAAGGCCCTGAGAACCAGCCTAAACGCCCACGAGAGAGAGCATCGGCAGGGTTGAACTCGCTACACGTCCAGCGTATGTGAATAGTACAGTTTGAACACAGCGCCAAGCAACACAGTTTACGAAGAGTACGACGAAGATGAATGGATGCGGCCCTTCCTTTACAACAACCCAGGGCCAACGGCATGTTGTCGACGAACAGTAGAATATGCTTCCCGAAAGCGGCCCTGGACCTCATGATGTGCTTGATGCCCAAGACGCACGCGCCCCCCTCCAGAGCCAGAATGTTGTCGGGCACGACGACCCTTGAGGCGATAACAGGAGCCCAGCGAGCCCCGTCGAAGAACTCCTTGGGCACCTCCATGAACTCCCTCGGGTGCACCCGGATGATGGATTCCAGCCCCAAGACGTCCAGGCCTTGCAGTCCGGCAGGCAGCGAAGCTGTGTCGTATGCGGAGGATGGTAGAGGCTGAGGGCGGAGGGCTCTCTCGCGGGCCTTCTCGGCACCGTGCACTCGGTAACGCCACCTCTCGCACTGGCGGCCGTGCTGCGCCGCAGCGTCAGGCCGCGCCGGCCGCGCGGCGACGCCGACTCCGAACTCGGAGGCGTCGCTCACTCCGACCACGTCGTGCCACGGGCTGCTCAGGTCCTTCTGTAGGAGCGGGAGCAGCGAGCGGACGAGCCACAGCTCCTGGCGCACGGAGGGCCACAGCCGCGAGGTCGTCGGCAGGCCGGCCGCTATGTACGGGTACACGGAGCACAGCACGCACAGCAGCTCACGGCGGATCAAGCAGGCCCACGTGATGTGGCCCACCAGCACCTCAAGCATCTTGCTGGAGCAGCAGCCCCGGCGCAGCACGGTATCCAGCGCCGCACGGAGCCGCCGCAGGTTGCGGCGCTTGATGGACAGCCAGCGGCCCTGCCGGAGCTCCAGGCCCACCAGCACGGCGTCGGGGGAGGCATCCGTCTCCTCATGGACGGTCAAGCCCCACCCGCGCAAGACGGCCGACACGTCGTCCCGGCGCTGAGTGACCAGCGAGGCGTCGTGGCCGAAGACGTAGAAGTTGTCCACGTAACCCGCCGCCGCCGTGTCAGAGCGGGCGGGCAGGGCCACGCTGGAACGACCGTCCTCCGCAATCTGCGAGTCCGCGAAGCCCGCCAGAGAAATGGCGCGCATGGTCACAGCCTGGCAGAAGTGCATCGCCCACGACCACCCCATGGGCAGGATGGTAAGGCAGGGAGCCAAGCTGGTCCCTGCCGGAATGCTGACCCCGTCCAGCTCCGTGATGCCCGCTAGGGTCGAGGAAAGCGGGGGCAGCGTGAAGTAGTCCTCTAAGCCGGACATGGGCCGGAGACGGTAGAAGGCATTGTCGAGGTCGCCGGCCGCCACGCACAGGGGCAAACCGCCCGACTCCACCGAAGACACCGCGGCCGCCGTAGGTAGCCGCGTCGCCGGCGCCGGGTGGAAGTAGGCGTTGGCGTACCTCGCGTCGAACACTATGCGAAGCTTGCCAGACTTCTTCCTCCAAAAAAATACACCAATCATGTGCTTGGTAGTGGGCGCCACCTTGAAGCGCAGCATACCACATGGATGAAGCCGCCGAACAAAATCACCATACAAAACTGGATCCCGCGCCAACCGAGGGTCAACGAAAGGTCCGCGAGGGCAAGCTTGTCGGGCCCCGAGCAGCGCCTCGTCGGGCGTCTTGAGCAAATTATGTCGCCAATCCCGTGCCCAATCAGCATCATCCCGAGTGAGGCAGCCCACAAGGTCGACGGGGCTGGAACCCACCTCAGGCCAGGAGACCAGCTCCTTCGAGTACGGGACCCGTGCGCCACCATCCTCGGAGTAGACGGTGGAGCCACTGAGAAGCTCGCGGAGGGCTTCTTCACAAAAACCTGGCTCGCTCGGCATCGCGCCCATCCCCAGGTAGCAGTCCTCCAGAAAGTCCAGGCTAGTCTGCTGTCCCAGGTTCGCGGGCGCCGACGGAGGTGCACCAGCATGGCCATACAGGCAGTTGAGCGCGTCGATGCCCTGGTCGGCCCAGTGGAGCAGCACGTCGGAGCGGCGGAGCCGCTGGCGCACGGCCCTGCAGGGGCGGCGGCCGGGCACGCGCTCGGACCGTCGAGCCACGTGAGGAAGAGGAAAAAGATCCCGATGGCGTCGGTCATCGGTGGCGGCACTGGGGCCACGAAAAAGGGCCTGGTGCTCGAGCTTCGGGGCGGCGGGGAGCCCCAGGTCCCGCCGCCCGCTCCACGTCGCCCCTTTCCTTCCTCCTTGTCCTTGTCCTTGCCGCCCTTCTTGTCCTTGTTGTTGGGCGCCCTGGCGGTCTGGCGCTCCTCCCGAGCCTTGCGCCTCTCCTTGGCCACAGCGTACTCCTTGGAAAGCTCACCGCTGACGTAAGCCAGCAGCTGGGGGTGAACACACACGTTGCCCCGGTTGGCCGAGGTGCCGTAAAAGAGGTGGGAGTCGAGAGACTCGTCGGCATTGGTGATGAACCGATCCCGCCACCTCTCCTCCTGCACCTGGATGCTCCTGCACACCATCTCCGCCGCAACCACGTCCGGCACATTGAGCAAATCGTAGCACACCATCTGCTCCAAGTAGAAGCAGCAGCGCTCGTGCTCGGCCACCCCCGCGTCCGTCAGCGCCAGGCGGCCCTCCGACCGCCACTTGCTGTGGCGGCCGAGCGGCGACATGCCGTTGTCCTTCATGAACAGGCACGCCCACAGCGTCGTCCTCGGCCCCGAGATGGGCCAGTCCGGCCAGTCATGCTCCACGAGGCGCAGAACAGCCTCCGAGAAGCCCATCTTCCTCTGGCCGAGGGCGTTGTACGCCACAGGCAGCACACGGGCGTCCGACTGCGCGCCAGGCGGAGCAGCGTGGGCAGCAGCGCCTTGAAGCGCCGGCGCGGGCGCCGGCGCGGGCGCCGGGGCCGCCGCACCGCTAGGCCCGAGGGGCACAGGTGCTCCGGGCGCCCCCGCGGGGCCCCCCAGCGCGGCCACCAGCCCGGCGACGCCCGCAGCGGGGGCGGCGGCCGGGGCTGCAGCGGCAGGCAGCAGCGCACCCACGGCCGCCGCCGCCGGCGCCGCCAGCGGCCGCCCACCTGCGTTGGCCACGATGGGCCCAGGCGGGGCGGCAAGGCCGAGACGGCCGGCGGCTGCGGCCGCGGCGGTGAGCAGCGTGGCCGGCGTCGGCAGGCTGCGGAACCTGTAGTAGCGGGCGCCAGGCGCCCACGCCATCGTGCCTCCCGCCGCGCCGCCAGGGAAGATGTCCCACCGCAGCACGTCCGGCGAGCCCACGTACAGCTCCTCGTGCTCGTCCGCGTCGGGTGTGATGATGCAAGCCGCGCCAGGAAGCCCGGGCGGCACGAGCACCACCACGCGTTCGTGGATCAGGGCCCCGCCCGCCACGTGGTACTGCACCCCGATGAAGTCGCCGGGCTGAACACCTGCCGCGGCCACTGACGGGTGCACCGGTGGCGCCGGCGCCGCCATCACTGCTGCAGTGCCTTGGCGCGCGCCACCCGCGCCTGGGCACGGGCCTCCTCCTCGAAGTCCGGCTCCCTGCCACCACCGACCTGTGGGCGACGGGCCGCCACGAAGCGGCCGCCCGCGCGCCAGAAGGCCAGCGCGGCGATGGAGGCCCCGACCAGCCCGCTGGCGGCGCAGGCCAGCGCCACGGCCCACAGGCTGGGCCCGTGGCTGCTCGAGCCCTGGAGGCCTGAGCAGTCGCACCGCAGCTCCGGGCAGTGGAACTGCGGCGCGCACGAGCACGCGGGGCACTGCGCGCGCCCCTGGTTGGCCGCGTACAGCGCCACGCCGGTGCTCAGCCCGCGGCCCAGCTCTGGCAGCAGCAAATCGGCCGCCGCGCGAGCGGCTGAGAGCATACGGGCGGAGTTCGCTCGAGGCTAGAGCGAGATGGCAACGGATGACCATCAAGTGCGGCAACTTCGCCGTGGTACGCAGCATACACTTGTAAAAAGGATCATATATATATATATATATATATATATATGTATGTATGGAGATGCACTCACGGGCGTATGTGTACGTATGCATATCGGATGTTATAACTCGATAGACAAACATAGAGGTGGGGGTGGGGAGGGGGAGGGGAGGGGGAGAGAGAAAGAGAGAGAGAAGGACACACAGACAGAAACACACACACACACACACACACCGAGTCAGAGAGAGGGAGGGGAGACTAGGAATATATCAAGAGAGGGACATGCAAACACATGCTGGGCTGCATGTGTAGCAGCTTTTCTTGCGGGGGACCACGTGACCCCATCGGGGAGATCGGTGTTGGCCTCGACTCATGCAGCGCGTGCGGCCGAGGCCGACTGCCCGAGAGTGACGGTGTGCTGGCGCTGCGGGGGGTCTTCCAACAAGATGTGTTCCTCCAACGGCGCAGCTCCTCGTCGCGATTGTCCCGTGAGCCGTGGCGACGGCTCTCCTGGGGGCTGTCGTTGATGGGCCCATGTTCCACCCATGTTCCTCATCCTCCCTTCTCCCGCGTCCTACATATGGTAGTCCGGGAGCGGCCAAGATGGGGGTGTCCAAGAAGGGGGGGGTGAAAATCCTGACCGGCGGCATGTGCGCGGCCCAGATGGGGGGGGCCAAGGACGTAATGAAATTCGCCGGCCCAACGGGCCAGAGGCGTGCAAAGATCTCTGGCAACTGGTTAACAATATTTCTAACTCGCGCGCGCGGGGCGGCCCCTGGGGGTCCCCCGGCGAAAAATACCCCGACCGCCGCCCGACCGCAGCCCGGCAACTGCTACTCAGACATGGTGTTCCTCCTGGGTGTGGCTTCTCAGGCCCCCCAGAGCGCGCCCGCGGGGGCGCCCACGGGGGCGCGAGGGGGCACGGGCGCCCACGGCCAGCGTGGCCAGAGCTGTGGCTGCCATGACAATGGACATGTTGACATGAAGGGGCCCGAGGACACACAGATAGATACACACAAATAACAGGATGCCCCATAGTGATCCATATGTTCTGGGTTTTTGTCTCCCCCACTTCCCATATTTTCTGACATTTTCCGAGGAGTCGACGATTCATTATGTGATTGTGTGTGTGCGTGTTTTCTCCACCTGAATGACAATGGACACTCTAACTATCCTACCAGGAGGCAACTACTAGAGGAAAGAAAACTATGCACATACACAGATTCTGGCCATGCCCACCCTGAGCCAAGGATCGGTGCATACGCCCTCTACCTTGGCCAGGAAGGTATATGCTCCGATCCTGGGTCAAGGATGGGCCTTGCCAGGATCAGTGCATGTGTATAGTTCTCTTCGCCCGAACTACTGAGAGGCTTTCGCCTGAAAAATTAGGATTAAGCCCCAGTTGGGAGCCATTACGCCAGAATGGGCCTCGGATTAAGCGGAATCAAGCCGGATTCAGCGGGATCAAGCCGGACTAAGCGGGATTAAGCCGGACTAAGCGGGATTAAGCCGGATTAAGCTGGACTTCGGACCAGGGCAGAATCAAAATTTGACCTGCCAGGAGTTGCATCCGAAACAATGGACATTCTAACAATCCGACCATTGAATTAAGGATGTGTTAGAATGTGTAGACCATGTTGTTCTAAAAACGTTTCAAACATGTTGTTTTACATATTTAAAGCATGTTTGACACATTGTTTTTGTTCATCTGGGAATTATTTGACAGCACGCTTCCTCTCCATTCATCGACTTCCACAGGACCAGAGCCTGGGAGGCCCGCTCGAGTGCAGGAGAGACAGACAAAACAGACTCCCTACAAGCAAACACTGTGCGAGGTGCAGGAGGCAGAGAGGGCACGGGAGTGAGCAGGGCCCGGCCGTCCCAACGTTCCTGTGGGCCTGCCAGCACATGCTCGTAGGACAAAAAGAGACCGTGCAAAACCGGCCACCGTGGACTTTGGCTCGAGGTGGATTGGCCCAAGGCTCACAGCAGTGCTGCTGATGCTGCTGCCAAAAGTCTAAAAACCTGATTTCCCGTGAACTCCCGGGCATTCTTGGCGCTTCCAGGGTGTCGCGTGGGTCTCCCGGACGGTCCTCTCGCTCAGGAGGGCCCCCAAACGGGCGAAGATAGCCAAGGGAGGCCAACCAGACGGTCCAACAGCTCCCAAGTCGCTCCATGATCGCTCTCAGACACTTGAATGGCCGCATGATGGCCAAAGAGGACCCACAGAAGCCCCCCAAAGGGGCCACAAGAGCACCATACACAAAAGCCCAAAGAGGTAAAATCGTTGATGTCCAGATGACTGTAAAAAAGCATGTAAGTATAGTTAGCCTTCTCTCCATATTCAGACTCCAAGGGCCTAAAAAGGCCCAAGAAGCCCAAATGGCCCCAGGACTGCCCAGGAGGCCCTAAGGACGCCCCAAGAGAGCCCCAAGACGGCCCAACACGAACGGATAGTTTGAGCCTTCCGCCCCAAGATGGCCCCAAGAGCTCCCCAGAAGCTCTCGAGGCCCCCAAGACGCCCCAAGAGGTCCGTAAGATGCCCCCGAGAAGCCGCAAGATCCCCCAAGAGGCCCGCAAGAAGCCCCCAAGAGGCATCCCACGAAACCCCCATCTGCATCCAAGACGGCGGGATGGGCCGAAGGCTAGTTAACCTGCTTGACACGGGGACGGACAGCGCTCGTACTCTGAGAGGGCGCCAGACCGCTTGCTCAGTGCCTTGAAGCCCTCTTGGTGTTAACACTTTAATACGTCATGACAAACGTAACAACCTGACTTGCGAACATCAGTGAATGTGGTCTCTCCGGGCCTGATAGGGTGTCCTTCGAGCCACCTTTGGGCCGTCTTTGGGCCCTCTTGGGTCGTCCGGAAGCCTCTTGGGTCGTCTTGGAAGGCTTGGGTCGTCTTGGGGCCCTCTCGGTGCCCTCTTGGGACCTTCTGTAGCCCTCTTGGGGCTCTTTTAGGAACCTTATGGAACCCTCAAGAGCGTCTCGTGGGTCGTCTTGGGGCTCTCTTGAGCCGTCTTGGAGCCCTCTTGAGCCATCTTGGGGCCCTATTTGGGCCGTCCTGGGGACTTCTGGTGCCGCCTTGGGTGATCTTAGGGCCTCTTGGGCAGTCGTGGGCGCTGTCAAAACCTGAGAGACGGACATGTCGTTTCGGAGGCCATCACGGGCCCTCTTTGAGCGCTCTTGGACCGTCTGGGGGTCCTCTTGGGCGCTGTTGGGGCTGACTTGGGCCGCCTAGGGCCGAACATGGCCGAAGGTTGGGCGATTAGACCTGGGTCTCCTGAGGCCCACCCCCGGCTAACGGATCGCGACGCGACGCGCGCTCACCGTCATCCGCCGACCCCCGTTGAATTATCAAAGGGGTGCCTGGCGTGCTAGACGTCTGGTGGTTTGGGGCTGTCTTCTAAAGAAATCCCAGTGGGGTTTGACCCAACGCGCTGGACACCCAGAACGCTCATCCAGATCGGGTTGGCAATGTTTGTTCCGCTCCAGATGGCTCGCAGGCAGCCCAATATGGCCTCCAAGATACCTCCAAGACTTCTAACAAAGGCTCAAGATGGCCTTCAAGACGGTCCCGATATGCCCCCGAGATAGATGGCTCTATGATAATCCAAAATAACCAAAGATGAACCTGACAAGGCCCAACATGGTCTCAAGATGGCCCAGGAGCCAGCGAAGACTTCCCAAGAGAGGCCCAAGAGGCCTCCAAGAGAATCCACAGGAAGGCCCGAAGAGGGCAACATCATAGATGTTATTTAGGTTGTGGAAGGATTGTGGCTTCTGCTCAGTTTCAGGCTTCCGACTACCCAAGGCGGCCCAAGAGTCCATCAAGATCGCCCCAAGAGCGCCCAAGAGGCTTCCAGTACGGCCCCAGGACGACTCAAAAGGCCCCCAAGACGGCACCCTGAGGGCCCAAAGACGGCCCAAGAGGCCTGCAAGACGCTCAAGATGGCCTCCAAGACGGCCCTGAAGCGCCCCAAGCGGGCCTCAAGACGGCCCAGAGAGGTTCCCAAAACAGCTTCCGACAACAACAGACGGGCCGCCAAGAGGACTCCAAGAGGGCCCCCAGAAGCTCCCAGGGCCCCAGGAAGTACCCAAGAAGCGGTCTCCTCATCATTCTCCTCATCCTCCCTCTGCTCATCCTCCACTTCCTCCCCCACGTGTTCCCCAAAAGGCTTCCACAACGGCTGGGGGAACGCCTGGTCTAACAGGGCGGGCCAAACTTCACCCAAACGTTTGGCCGCATAGGCGTATCCTGAACAGGCAGGGGGCGGCGGTGATTCGCCGTTAGCATCTTCGACAGCAAAAACACGGCGTATCAGCAAGAAGGGGACGTGTGAGGGAGAGGTGCCCTAGCTACACTCTCTGACCTTTGGTGGCAAGGGGAGCTTGGCATCAGGAACCCCGCAAAAGGAGGAGGAAACAACGGCATGAACATGAACTTGTGGAGGTCCGTGCTGATTTCTTGGATCCGCTCTGGACCACCCTTCCTGGCGCGCGAAACCCGCCAGGGGAGCCCAGGCGCCGATCTAAGAAACCCGCGCGGGCCTCCAAACAATTATGCCTATGCCGATTATTCTTCTTCGTGGGGGGGTAGGGGTTGCACACGTGGCTTCCCAGTGTTCCCCGACGCCCCCTCCCACTGGGAACGGACGGCACAACGGGTCCTTCGGAGTGGGACCGGGTGTTCGGGTGTTTCCACATGCGGCCCTCACGCAGGAGGTCAGAACTCAGATGGGCACGACGTGCTTCCCGCTGCACCAGGGTCGTCCACTCGCTGCGCGGTCGCCCGCAGCGCCTGACACACCTGTGCAAAGCCGGGACTGTCCTGCTCGGGACAAGGGACGAGAGAGATGCCGAGTGGCTGCACCTCTCCGCCGACCGAGCCCTCCTGCATGTCGGTGTCCTTGAAGCTGACGCTGGCCTGTCGCGGCAACGGGCGCGGCGCCGACCCGCTCGCCGCCCCCCCGCCCCCCTGTGCCTCCCCCCCCCCCTTCCCCCTGCCTCCCCTCCTTCCCTTGCCTCCTCTTATTATCTTGCCTCCCTCCCCTCCCCTCCCCTCCCCTCCCTCCCTCCTCTCCCTCCTTCCTCCCCCCTCCGCTCCGTTTCCGCCTTCCCCCCCCGCAGCCCCGACCCCCGTGCACCTTTGCGACGAGCTTCCAGAGGAGAGGCCTCTCGTGCGAAGGGGGTCCGAGCCCGCCTGAGCGGGGGCCTGCGCTCGGGCCTGCCAGAGGGCTGGCCTTGAGCCGACTTCGGCCCTTCGGCCCAGCTTCCCCCCTTGCACCACTGCTATGGCCGTTCCCAGGGGGGGGCCATTCGAGAGGCCTCCCATGTGGCATCTGTGCAGATGGGGTCGGAAGATCGCGCCGCATCGTCGATGCATCGGTGACGTCGAAGATGGATGCATCGGCGTCGACGGCGTGGAGGACATCGGGCCACACGTCGGGCCGCATATGATGGGCCTGTTTTCCACCACCACCACCAGAAGTTGGAGGGGGAGGGGGTCCTCTTTCTCCTCCTCCTCCTCCTCCTCCTCCTCCTCCTCCTCTTCCTCCTCCTCCTCGTCCTCCACCTCCCTCCCCCCTCCAACTTATGGTGGTGGTGATGGAAAACATGCCCATCAGCATAGCCGATGCATCGGCGATGCGGCGCGGAGGGACGGCTAGAGTGAAGGGGCCCCAGGACACACAAATAAATACACACAAATAAAGAGATTCCCCATATGTCCCCCATATTTTCTGGGTTTTTGTCTTCCCACCCACTTCCCATATTTTCCCATACTTTCCTGAGAATCGACGATCAATTGTGTCTGTGTTTTTTCCTCTCCTGATAGAGGGACTCGGAGGGACGGCTAGAGCCTGGCAGCTCTCGTGCTGTAGCTCGGGCCTTCTGCGGCCGCCCGGGCAGATCCGTGCACGCCATGCAGTACCCTCGGCGAGGCGCGGCCGCTGGAACGCATCCGAGGCAGGACCCCCCCGCCCAAGAGCCCGCGAGACGTCTGCAGGCCTGAAACAAAAAACCCTGTGATACCTTAGATTCCCATCCAGGAGCGCTTCGTCGACGTCGCCGGCGCAGCAGCAGCGACGCAGTCTGAGCAGATGGGGTCCTCCGACCCCATCTGCTCAGACCCCACCCAGGAGGTCCCAGGCGCACAGTCGGGGCGTTGACCTAAGGCACCTTGAATAAGGAACGAGGCCCCTTGATCCCAAAAGTTAGGCTTGGATCTTTCCCATCGAAAACCTCAGGAACAACAAAAAAAACCAAACTGCAACACAAGCAAGGAACACCGAACCCCTCCCCAACGAGAAGGGTTCCTTCTCTTCAGCGCCCTGACTTATCGGGTCGGGCGAAAGGGGGGGATAGCAAAGGGGGGGGGTGAGAATCAGCTCACGTAGCTGATGTTCCCGGCGCCTCCCGAGGAATGGGCCCGTCGGTGAGGCCGAAACCAGCTGCATGTTGCAGATTTCGTACCCCCCCCTTTCCCAATCCCCCCCTTTCGCCCGGCCCGACTGTAAGTGGCCGAGGCCGTCGCCCGCACCCTGCTGCCAGGCCGCCTGCCCACCGCGCTCCCCTCGCAGCGCCGCGCGCTGGGGGGCCACGGGGGCACGCCCACGTCGGCGAGAACGCGCTTCACGGGCGCGCGCCTTGGGAACACTCGGCGGCGCGTTTCGAGCCGGGGGGTGGGCCCCCCCAACAGTCGGCGCCGCCGATCAAAACCAGGGGGGCCCCCCTCGCCCCCAAACAACCCCCCCCCCTTTCCTAAGGCGGGGGGGGTGGACCCCCCCCCCTGGCCCGCGGCGCCGGCCAAGGCAAGGGGGGGGTGGTTGAACCCCTCCCCCCCCTGGCCCCTGGCGCCGGCGCCGGCGGCCGCCAGCAGCGCCGACGGCGGGGACGAAGCGACGATGACCAGAGGCAGCCCAAGGGGGGGGGGTTCAAACGCCCCTCCCTCCCCTGGCGCCGGCGCCGCCGCTGGCAGCGGCCAACAGCGCCGGCGCTGGCGCCGGCGACGGCGGGGATGCAGCGACGATAACCACCACTACCACCACCACCACCACCACCGCCTCAACCCACCACCACCACCAACCCACCACACAACCACCACCACCACCACCACAGCCGCCACCACCACCACCACAACCACCACCACCACAACTCAGCATCACCACCACCACAAAGCCCACCACCACTACCACCACCACCACAATCTACCACGCCACCACCACCACCACTGCCACAACCACCACCACCACCAGCAGCACAACCCACCAGCACCGCCACCACAACCCACCACAACCACCACCACCACAAACCACCACCACACCACCACCAAACCACCACCACCACATTCCACCACCACCACCACCACCACCACCACCACCATAAACCACCACCACACCACCACACCACCACCACCACCACCACCACCACACCACCACCACCACCACCACCACCACAACCCACCACAACCACCACCACCACAACAAACCACCACACCACCACAACAAACACCACCCTTCCCACCACCACCACCGCCACAACCCCCACCACCACAATCCACCACCACCACCAACACACCACCACCAACACACCACCACCGTCGTCCTCGTCGACGCTCCCCGCCGCCGCCGCCCGCCGCCGCAGGCGCCGGCGCCGGCCCAAAAAAGGAAATCGTCGTCCCCGCCGCCGCCGCCGCCAGCCGAGGAGAGGGAGAGAGGAGAAGCAAAGGAGGCTCTCGAACCCCCCCCCTCCGTCACGGGACGGGGGGAGGGGTTCGAACCCCCCCCTCCCCCCATCCAGGAAGGGGGGGGCCGCCCCCTCCAAGCGACCACAGAGCGCGCTCTGTCCAATGTCGAGGCCAGTCGTCGAGCCAGGCCCCTCCCTCCCTCACCGATCCGCCCCTCCCTGACACCACCCCTCCCAAGCCAAGGGTTGTCCCTCTCCGTCCGCCCCGCCTGCTCGCAGCTCCGCCCTTCGGGGGGGGGGGGGGCACTGGCATCGTCGAGCCAGGCTCCCCGTCCCTCCCACGCTGATCCACCCTCCCCGGCACCCGCCCTCCCAATCCGAGGGTTGTCCCTCCCCATCCGCCCCGCCTGCCTCACCCATCCGCCCCGCCTGCCTCAAAATCTGCAGGGGCGGGGGTATGCGCGCACGGGTGCGGCACACCCCCGCGATGCTGGCCCATGCGTGCGTATTCGCATGGATGTATACGTGCGCTTACGCGAGGCATGTGCGTGCTGCGCTTGCGCATGCATCCGCCGATCGAAGAAGGGTATGACAGTCAACGGCAAGTGTCACGAATGGCGGTGTCAGGCTCACAGCACCGCTACACCTACAGTCATAATGTCACACGGATGCCAACAAGAGCACAATGGGCATCCTGGACCAGGTCGAAATGTCCGACAACGTGTGGGCGCCATGCCCGCAGAGAAGTGGTGTTGGCTACACGACGCCGCTTCTGGAATCAACCACGCCAATATTCCGCCCCACACTATCGGCGGCCGCCTGTCTACGCTGCCCCCAAAGACGTGGGCGACTGCGCGTGAACGACGCGTCATCGGATTGCCGGGTCGCCTCTCGGCCACAAAATTTCGCCTCGGCGGCTAAATGCGATGAAGTTGTCGTTGGGCGCCCCGAGGGCGACCTGAGTGAACTATCCCTGACGTGCTCGCATGCGGTCGCTGAACATGCTCAAGGTCCAGACAGGGGGTCCAGAGCTGAAGCATGGTCTGCCTCAGCAGAGACAGCAACGTGGCCGATCGCTGGCACTCCCACAGCGCGAACGCTGGCGCGTGTTCACGAACGGCCTCTCCAGATCTTTTGTGCAAGCCACGCGCCAGCGGCGGCCCACGCACGCCCACCGCCGCCAAGTCGTGCCAACTAGCGGTTCCATCCATGACCGGTGCTGCTGGGCGGATCCCTCCTGCTCGTCGTCCTGGTCATCACTTTCCGCAGAATCTGCTTCCTCCTCCTCCTCCTCATCTGGGGAACCGACCTCTATACACCGAGGCTTTTTCTGGCCCTGCACTGAAACTCGCACAGGAAAGCAGATCCTGCTGTATACGGGATGTTGGTGTATACATTTTTACTCATCTCCCCAGGACGACGGGGAAACGAATATGCACCACACCACCCCGACGTCGTCCGTGGCCCTCAAAAAGTCCAGGGATTGAAAAACAGCACGCCACCGGTAATGCATATGTTCCAGTGTCCGACTCATCCTCTGGAATGGGCCGCTCCCTTTCCAACGTGGCCACGAAATCTCTCGTCCGTTCTGCCCCGCCGGGTCTGCCGACCAGGCTCCGTGTGCCCAATGGCCTCGGCGGCGCTGTGAGCGCTACACAGAGCCGCCATGGGACACTGCGCACGCAACTGGTCCATGAAGATTGCAATGCAATAACTTGCCGTCGCTCGGACGTCCATTTACCGTGCACTGTTCGTCTTCGTGCGTGTTTGTTGTTGCTCGATGGTCCTGGATGGTCCTCGATGGTTCTCACCAAGAAAAAGATGCACACGTCCGAGCGATGCCAAGATAACGCGTGTTCATGCCATTCGATGGAAAATCACACCTTCTCATCATCCGGGTCCTCCTCCTCCGCATCATCCTGCTGCGCTGGGGAGAAGGAAGACGCACCACCATCACCTGGAGGATGGAGGCAGAGGTGGTCAGGGGTGGTGTTAGAGTATATCGTCTCGGGCGCTCTTGGACCCGAACCGACGGACCTGGACCCGCAAAAATGACGGCCGCGACGCCCTCTCGCGAATCGACAGCGGCCAATTCGCCAATCGACGTGTCGGGGTAGGCGGTCTGTCCACCACCGACAGGAGGTCTGTCCTGCGCGCGCCCCCCGCCGCAAGATCGTGCCGACTGGCGGCTCCACCCGTGAGCGGTGCTGCCGGGCGAATGCCTCCCGCTCCTCGGCGCCCTGGCCATGCCAAATCGTCCGGCATCCCCCCCAAGTGGTGGTGGTGGTGGTGCTGCGCTCCCCTCGGGGATCTTCGGACTCTGGTGCATCCAGACCCGGGCCGAGCAGGGTTTGCAAGAGCCTGCAACAGATCCTGCACGGTCCTGCACCCAAGACTGGGTCAATGAGACTCTGGCCCTGCATGATCCCACGAACACCGGCGCTCTGGATGACCCCCGCTCTGGAGGTAGGAGGAGGAGGAGAAGCAGGAGGAGGAGGAAGAGGAGGTGGAGGAGGAGGAGGGAGGAGGAGGAGAAGGTAGGAGAGAGAGAGGAGGGAGGAGAGGAGAGGAGTAGGAGGAGGAGGAGGAGGGAGGAGGAGGTAGGAGGAGGAGGAGGAGGAGGAGGTAGGAGGAGGAGGAGAGGAGAAGGTAGGAGGAGGAGGAGGAGGGGGAGAAGGAGGAGGAGGAGGGAGGAGGAGGTGGAGGAGGAGGAGGTAGGAGGAGGAGGAGGTAGGAGTAGGAGTAGGAGTAGGAGTAGGAGTAGTAGGAGTAGGGAGTAGGAGTAGGTAGTAGTAGTAGTAGTAGTAGTAGTAGTAGTAGTAGTAGTAGTAGTAGTAGTAGTAGTAGTAGTAGTAGTAGTAGTAGTAGTAGTAGTAGTAGTAGTAGTAGTAGTAGTAGTAGTAGTAGTAGTAGTAGTAGTAGTAGTAGTAGTAGTAGTAGTAGTAGTAGTAGTAGTAGTAGTAGTAGTAGTAGTAGTAGTAGTAGTAGTAGTAGTAGTAGTAGTAGTAGTAGTAGTAGTAGTAGTAGTAGTAGTAGTAGTAGTAGTAGTAGTAGTAGTTAGTAGTAGTAGTAGTAGTAGTAGTAGTAGTAGTAGTAGTAGTAGTAGTAGTAGTAGTAGTAGTAGTAGTAGTAGTAGTAGTAGTAGTAGTAGTAGTAGTAGTAGTAGTAGTAGTAGTAGCAGTAGTAGTAGTAGTAGTAGTAGTAGGAGGAGGAGGAGGAGGAGGAGGAGGAGGAGGAGGTCTCTCGAGCCTCGATCCCTGCTCCCAGCGTGCCGCCGCACGCGGCGGGCACGACGCGCTGCGAGACAGAGCGCTGCCCTGCCCCACTCCGCCACCCAGCGGCCTCCGCCGCCGCGGGGGGGCTGGCCACCGCTCGGGCGTCCATTCCCTGTCAGGGCTGCACCTAAACGGTGTTTCTCGTGTTCGTTTTGCCTTCGGTGTCCCTCGGTCTGTCTTCAACCCGCCTTTGACGCGAAACGAGGTCGAACCGAAAACGGCCCACGAAATCGCCGAAACACCGTTTCGGTCCACCCCTGTTCCCTGTGTTTTTGTTAGGTTTCGTGCGTGCTTTTTTGTCGCAGGATGACCCAGGCTGCTCCTGAATAATTCCCGCCGAGGAAAAAAAGTGCACACGTCCGAGCGATGCCAAGACTGGCGGCCTCCGCCGCCGCGGGGGAAGGGGGGGGGGGCGGAGAGAGGCAACAAGGGGGAGCAGAACGGTGCCGACACCGCTACTCCCTGGGCTTCTCCAGTGGTGCGCTCCGCCCAGGGCCGCGAAGCGAGCCCAGCCGTGGCGGCGAGGGAGTCGCAGCGGCATCGGCATGTCTTTCTCTGGTGAGGGCAGCAGGACAGTGAAGTGGCGGGCTGGAGCAGGCGTAGGCACGGACGACAGGACGACGGAGCGCCATCCTTACCAGCCTGGAGCAGATCCCTATCCCTATGCTGGGCACCTCCTCATCACGATGCCGACCTCAGGGATTCCCTTATTGCTTGAGGGCGAATCCCTGAGATTGTCATCGCCTTTTGGCGTGGCAATCTTGGGGATGGGGATACGCTCGAGGCTGGTCATATCCTGCCCCACCTCTTCCTCGCCCGCCTCCTCCCGCGCCCTCCCTCTGGCCCCCCCCCCGCTGTCGGGCCGCCGCCCCGGCCGCGCCTTCTCCGAGGGCATGCCGGAGCACGTGTGCTTCTCCGCGTCCACCGTCGTCTTCCCGGGGCACTGGGAGCAGTCCCCCTGGGGGGCGGGGCGAAGGAGAAGAGGACGCGGCACGCGGACGCCAGGAGGAAGAGGAGGAGGAGGAGGAGGAGGAGGAGGAGGAGGAGGAGGAGGAGGAGTGAGGAGGAGGAGGAGCAGGAGCGAGGAGGAGGAGGAGGAGGCGGAGGAGAAGAGGGCGCGGCACGCGGACGCAACTCTCGGAGGCCCGCCCTGGATCTCCTGGGTCGGCGCCTGGCCGGACGCGTCGCCGGGGAGGTCCGGCGCGGATCAGATGCCACCGGCCCTGTGGGCCAAGGTGGTCTAACGAATTCTTTTTTTCCCCGCATCCAGAGTAGGATTCTTGTTTGCTCTGGACACCCTCCGCGCGGGAACCTGCCTCCCACTCTCCGCCTCACTCACGCATTCACCCCGTCATCGGTCCTCATCGACATCGGTCAGCATCATCACCACCATCGTCATCATACCCAGTCGCTCACCATCGATCACCATCACCATCGGCTCATCATCATCAGCATCGCCACCACCGCCATCATGATCAGACTCAGTCGCACATCACACACACTCTCGCTCACCACTCAGCATCATTCTTCCTGAGGCCTGAATATGGGGGAAGTATCAGGCGGGGGGCTCGTTTGTGAGTGAATTGCGAGAACGTCTCGGGCGGGAACCCTCTCCCTCTGAGGCCCGCACTTCATGTTTGTAATCCGAGCGGGCCATCCTCGAACCTGTATATGTCGTCACGTTTGGGCTCCTGAGGCTTGGATATGGGGGAGGTATCAGGCGGGAACCTCGTTTGTGAGTGAATTGCGAGGAAGTCGAAAGATTGGGGAAATATCATGCGGGAGGCACGTCTGTGCGTGAATTGCGAGGACGCCTCAAGCGGGAACCATCCCCCCTATGGAGCTCACACTTCGTGCTTCGAATCGGAGCGGGCCATCCTCGAGCCTGTAACTGTCATCACTCTTGGGTCCCTGAGGCCTCGTCTGTGAGTGAATTGCGAAGAAGTCTCAGGCGTAAGCCCTCTCCATATGGGGCCCGCACTTCATGTTTTGAATCCGAGCGGGTCATCCTCGAACGTGTAACTGTCGTCACTTTTGGCCGCCTCAGGCAGGAGGCTCGTCTGCGAGTGAATTGCGAGGATGTCTCAGGCGGGAGCCCTCTCCCTATGAGTCCCGCACGTCACGTTTCTAATCCGACCGGGTTATCCCCGAACCTGTAACTGTCTTCACTGTTGGGCTCTTGAGGCCTGAATATGGGGGACGTATCAAGCGAGAGGCTCGTCTGTGAGTGAATTGCGAGGAAGTCTCAGGCGGGAGCCCTCTCCATATGGGGCCCGCACTTCATTTTTTTAATCCGAGCGGGTGATCCCTGAACCTTTAACTGTCGTCACTGTTAGGCCCCTGAGGCCTGAATATGGGGGAAGAATCAGGCGGGAGGTTCGTCTGTGAGTGGATTGCGGGAGCCCTCTCCTTATGGGGCCCCCATTTCGCGTTTCTGATCAGAGCGGGTCATCCCCGAACGTTTAACTGTCGTCACTTTTGGGCCCCTGAGGCCTGAATATGGCCGAAGTATCAGGCAGGAGGCTCGGCTGTGAGTGAATTGCGAGGACGTCTCGGGCGGGAACCCTCTCCCTATGGTGCCCGCATTTCACGTTTCTAATCCGAGCGGGTCATCCTCGAACCTTTAACTGTCGTCACGTGTGGGGTCCTGAGGCCTGCATATGGGGGGGAGTATCAAGCGGGAGGTTCGTCTGTGAGTGAAGTGCGAGGCAATCTCAGGCGGGAGTTCTCCCCATATGGGGCCAAGAGTTTACATTTTCAATCCAAGCGGGTCATCCTCGAACCTGAAACTGTCGTCACTTTTGGGCCCCTGCGGCATGAATACGGACGATGTATCAGGCGGGAGGCTCGTCTGTGAGTGAATTACGAGGAAGTCGCAGGCGGGAGCCCACTCCCTATGGGAGCGTTTCTAACCCGAGCGAGTCATCCGCGAACCCGCAACCGTCGTCACGTTTGGGCTCCTGAGGCCTGAATGTGAAGGAAGTATCAGGCGAGAGCCTCGTCTGTGAGTGAAGTGTGAGGCAGTCTCGGGCGGGAGCCCTGGGGCCCGCACGACAGCGAAGGTTATTTCCAGAGTAGCCGAAAGGAAGTTCATGTGGGGTCTTCCAGTCGGAATCATTTTCCTCTTCCGTTCGGGGAGGGGTGCCCTCCCTCTCCCTCCCTGAAGTTTTTGTTGGGCGGTTCGCGATCGGCCAGGGCGCCCACGGTGGCTCCAGGAGGGCCTCCGATGCTCCAAAAAGGCCCCCAGGGCGGCTCAAATTGCCGAAGATGTTTCCAGTCAGCTTCCGACGTGCCTCCAGGAGACCCGGCGAGGGCGACAGGCAAGTCGGGTCCCCGGACCCCTCCCCAGAGGCCCTGCAGTGGAGGCCAGTCCACAAGAAACCCCTCACAAGAAACCCAACCCTGAGACCCCAGGACGTCCGCGGATTTTTACTGTGGAATCGTCACGCTCTCCATGGGAGAAGCCATCGACCGAAGAAACCCGAGGCACCCTGGAGGCAAGCGGGGTGTTTCTTGGCATGGGTCCCCACTGTGATCCTTCAAGCACCGAATACAAATCAATGACTTGCGCATTCTCGCCTTCTCGCTTCCGATGCGCCTCTGATGCCTCAAGGCGCCCCCAACACGGCGCCAAGAACGCCCAAGATCGGCCCACGAGCGCCCCGGGAGGGCTCTTGCGGGGGGGGGGGGGAAATCGAGGACCCCCCTCCTTTGATTGAAAGCCTCCAAGATGGCCTCGAGAGGCCCTCCAGGGCCTCCCAAGAGGACCCCAAGAGGGCCCCTACAGGGCACCAAGGCCCCCCCAACGGAGCCCAAAGGCGACCATGAGATCCCCCAAAAGAGGTCCAAGAGGGCTCTGGTCTCGTCCATGGTGTCCTCCTTCTTCTCCTTATCCTCGATCCTTCCGTGCCCTCATCGCTTTCAGTTTCCTTTCGCTCCTCTTCCCCGTCGTCGTGATGGTGGTTGCGTCGTCGCCGTCGCCGCCGTCGCTTCCTCATCCTCATCCTACTCCCCTCGCTCACACGCGGGCCCCAGGGATGGCCCGAAGAGGCCCTCCAAAGCAACCGCCTCAATCCTAGAGGTCTCGCTGTTGGCCGCTTTGTTTCACTATATGTGCCTCTTCGTTCCTTGTCCCGTCAACTTTCATGGGCAGGTTTTTGAATGGGCTGGTCGGGATACGCGAAGCGTGAAGATTAAATCTGCGCTGACCTTCGAAACTGTGGGTATACCGGTGTCGTCTTCGAGATAAGTCAGCATCGAATCGGAAGTCGAATCAGACCTGACTTTACCAACACGTGGTCGAGATCAGATCGGATGCGCGCACTGAAATGCCAAACGTCGGGCCGCATCGGATCGTCGGGCTAACACATTTGAATCGGGCTGTGTCCGGCTGGACTCGAGCGAAGCGGATCGAAATGGAACCTGCGGGTGGCAGTCAAACAAGGCGATGGTCATCGGCATCGGCCTCTGCAGCTCTACAGAGGACGGCAGGGCATGCAAGTTCAAGCAATGGGAGGAGGAGGAAGAGGAGAAGAAGGGTTAGGGGCTGGTAAAGGGAGAGGAGGTGGAGGACAACAACAGCAACAACAGCAACACCACCACCAACAACAGCAACACCAACACCAACACCAACAACACCACCACCACCACCAACAACACAACAATAACAACAACAACACCAACAACAACAACAACAACAATTACTAGCACGTGGGGACACTCCGTTCTCACCAGTGCCAGGGTTTTCATAGGAGGCGGGCAATACCCCCACGTTGTGGGGGGGCCGGTTCAAGCTTTACCAAATTTCCAAACGACTCTTCGCCACCACCCACACCCAGCTTCCCGCCCTATGACGTTCGGACACTTCACTTCGTGGCATGCGGACGACCGTTGCTACTATTCAGGGCCCCGCGGCCGACGACGACGGCGTGCGCGCGCGAAGAAAAAACGAATGTGTCCCGCATGGTATTATTTGACAGGGATGATGGCCCTGGCAGGTGCGCAACCGTTGTTGCAGAAGTTCGAAAAAGTTGCTCGCAAAAGCCCGTTTGACAGAAATGTTTAAAAAGTGTTGGGTTTCCTACGAATCCGCAAGAGCGCGCGGGATGAAATTTTGACATTTTTTTTTGAAAAACCATTGGTTTTTTGATGTTTTTATGTTAAAATCGCTACGAAAACTAAGGTTTTGGAAGGATTTCGTCTTGCGCGCGCGAATGTCCACTTTACCTTATTTTTTGCAAGGGATTCTTGAAGTTTGGTTATGTTAGAACAAGAAATGTCCACTTTAGCTTATTTTTTGCAAGGGAAAGCGGGCCGTAACAAAACAACCGGATCCGGACCAACCCGTTTTGCCTGAGACTTCCTCACGAAAATGATGAAAATGTGGCTGCGGCCTAGGCGCGGCGGGGGGGTCGTGCACCAGGGGCCCCAACAATAATTATTCTTTAGAAGTAATAATGTTCAACACCAACAACACCACCACCACCAACAACAACGACAACAATCAATTTACTATCATACGCGATGTTTCCACACGAAGCATGCGACCATCATGATAACCATCCACATCATGGGGGACTCTTGTTCTATAGCTGGGTCCGTTATTTTCATTCCCAACTATCCCGCCCAATGAGGTATTGCAAACGCCTCCCCCGAGGAATGTTAACATATCCCGCCTCGAAAACACATGCCCACGCCTTGCTGCGCCGATGTGAGACCGCCAGTGGAACCCCAGCGAAGGGTACAGCACAAGGAAGTATCGAACGACAGGATTGCATTGGTGGGGATGGGGGCTGTCGGCGGTGAGGCAAGGACCTGGCCCTGAATAGAAAGGGAGCAAGTCTCGAGCAGGGTTGCTGTTGTTGCTGGGAGCGGCGCCAATGCTGAAGAGAGTAGGGCGCTAGTCCGGCGTAAAACAAAACGAAGTCTCGAGCGGGAGCGCTGGTTTTGTTGGGACGG